TTTTCTAATACTTCGATATGGAAGAAGTAGCTGGGGGGCTATTATTTTGGTACTCCCGTAGTGTATGTACCAGGTTAGGATTAAGACAAAATTTCATTCCAATTTACCCTATTTTAGTCCTTTTAGGAGTTCGGGGACTGTCTGTGTCAGCCAAGTGAATATACCCCCTGTCCATAGGTTTCAGTCCCTTTACACAACTTGAGGTGAAGTAGGCAAACAAGATTATTTACCTCCATATTGGTACACAAACTTCTGAAGAGCCAATTTTTCTTTAATGTTTTCATTTTTACTCCCGAGTAACAGTATATTCAATACTTACTGGGGTTTTCGAGCTTGACCATACAGGTAAAAACATCCCGATTGCAGTTTTGCAGATGTGGGACTAAAATCTGATATAAGGGATCAAATTTTGAACTTGAATTTTTGAATATATAAATTTAAGTTGAAACATTTAAATTCTTATGAGAAATTTTTTTCTCAGCTGAAAATGATAGATTTGAATATTTGTATGAGATATGTTAAAAGATTATTGGATGATTAGAAGCTTGCGCCATTACAATTTCTGGTAGTTTCGCATCCATCTTTCATGGTGGGCTTGGCTCCAGCTCCACAAAAATGTTACGGGTCCATGGTTCTGACCTCAGCCCCGGCCCCCCAGCCTTGCGTGAAATGCAGCTATATTGGGCTTGGGCTTTATTGGGGAAAATATTTCTAAAATGAAATTGCGATTTTAGTCTACTCTAGTATTCGGATACAATTTGTTTATTACATTACTTTCCCAAAACAAAATATGAGCAACAAAAACGTGATTCTGCGTTTAAATGGCTTCGTATTAAATACGCGGTTCTGCACAAAATCAAAAAAACAACTGCGACAAAAATTCCATCGCGGTCGAACATGGATTGCAACGATTAAAACGTATTCATTCCAACGGATTAAACAACAGTAGGATTAATATTATTATAATAATCACATTTAGCTATCATTTCATTTTATAATCTCTGATAGTTATATATATTTGTAGTTCAAAATTTATGTTTCTTCGTAAATCATGTAAATATATATATATAATAAATGAATAGTAAAAAATCTGAAATTTTACTATTAGTTGAATGTGTGTTATATTTTAAACAATATTTTGGTATCACGAAGTTGAATAAAACGCGGAGAATAAGACATTTAATGAATATATATAACGTCAAATAACATATATAATTCATTCGTAGAATTAACTTCCAAAAAAATGGGTGTATAAATATAATAAATGTAATTGAGTTTCATTTATATGCAATGTAAAAACAGTAGAAAGAAGTTTTGAGATGCAAATCAGTTCTCAAGTTCTCAACGAAAAAATCACCTAGTCCATCTATTGATAGATAATATGCCTATACTATGGAATATAACAAGAATGGAACTCTATATCAACAGTAATCAAGGCAGGTGTACAAGATTACTAGGATTTGTTCAAAAAGAATTGTTTTGAAACAATTGTTTTAAATCAAATTTTTTTTTGCCCGTTTTGTTCAAAATGGCTGTACTATTTGATTTTTTTGTATTAAATAGATTGAAGTAAAATGGATGTAAAAACTTGCCAAGCGCTTTTTATATGCAATGAATCTTTCAAAACGCCAAAAATATTGATAGAGGCTCATGCACACCTTCTCAAGCTGTAGTTCAGTGGTTGGCGCAGTAAGACGCAACCGATTAGCCATTACGACTATACGTGAACGACCCTGCTGCGATGAAACAACATTGCGAAAATTGAAATGCGATCGAATAAATGAGATTGTAATAACCTTGAAAAAACTCTATCACTTCAGTCTTAAAAACAAAGTATGCTAAGCATAAATTAGCCGAACGGTATTAACCGTAAAAATGCCTTCATTTTATGACAAAAATGATATGAACTCGAAATGCATATTATGGCGTCATAACAGATTAGTTGTGGCGTCTTTGCATCAGAGGACTCTTACGATTAACATAGGCTAGGCTAGGGTGTCTCATCGTTTATATCAGTAGATCCCCGCCGATATAAGCATATTCTCCTTTTGCCGAAAGGCTGCACTTGATCTAATTGCTTTTGTAGTAGGCTCGTGAGCTAATTTTCATGATTTTTCTTACTCACAACGTCTTCCTGATATCTCGGCTAAACATTCCGGGTAAATCTTATGACTTTGGTGGCGATACAAACGTGGCTATAAATTTACGCAATAGAAGTAAAAGTCAAAATAAAAAAAATTTACTTACATTTTTGAAATTATAATTCCGGCTGCGTGTGCAGCTGCCACAATGCAACGTTTTGGCGTAGTTTCGCGGCGATGCAAGGAGTATTTCAATAAAAATACAAAAAATACAGAAAAAATTTGATTTAAAACAAGCCCTTGTTTTGAAAACACGATGTTTATATAGAATGGATGAAAAAAAAAACCTAAAGATTACTAATGTAATTTTACCAATGCAAGATGATAGTAAAACTTTTAATTGATGTTTCCAGTTGACCATTTTTCATATAGCTTTCAACGAGAAGTTCTGCTTCGTTGAATTCATTTGTGATGAGCTTCCCAAAAGTATAGACGAATTACCTCAAATCATATAACTTAGTTTTAAGTGCCAGAGTATTAAAGAAAATTCAAAGTTATATCTCTCTTCCGGACAACGGTCAAGGTTTGAATTTTTTTTTTATCCCAGAACAAATCGTTTGTTATTTGCGGGCGCACGGTGTCAAAAGTTCTGTTTTTAATAAAAAAGAGATTAATAACAAAAACGTGAGTTTACTCTTAAGATATCTTTGTAATAAATACACGATTCTATAAACAATTTCAAAAACTATTGCCACAAAATCTCCAACGCGATTAAAAGTGGAAGATTAAAACATAGTCATTTCAAAGGATTATACATTTAGTATTTTAAATAATAATAATAATAATCAAGTATCTAAAAACAACCAAATTTAGCTATTTTTCGTTTGGAAAATGATAGTAGATTAGCTTAATTCTACCTATGGTGAAGTAAAACCACATTACGTGAAAATATGAAATTTAAAAACTATAACGCCAAATAGACTGATCCATTCGACGAATTCGCTTTCAAAATATATTTTTGGTAGTTTTATATAAATCACGATTAATTGAGTTATACTTTTATTTAACATAAACAGTAGATCAAAAATTGAGACAGGCCGTTTCCCGACTCATTCAATATTAAGTTTTGTTTTTATATCATTTAGAAAATAACTGCGTCAACATCAACTTCAAACAGAATTGACCTATTTCACCGCGACGTTGCATTAATAGAGTTACACTGAGTGTTTATGAAGAACTTCATTCTTTTATTCCATTCTTGAAAAATGGTGCCTCAGAAGTATGTGTACCAATATGGAGGTAACTTATTTTGTTTGCCATTTCACATCAAGTTGTGTAAAGGGACTGCGGCCTGTGGGCAGGGGGTATATTTACTTGGGTAACACAGTCAGTCCCGAACTCGTAATAGAACTAAAATAAGGAAAATCGGATTAAAGTTATGGCCTAACTCTAACCTGTTACACATACTACCATACCCAAAAAATCTCTAAAAACGAAGCTACGTCCTAATCTCTCAAAGCTGACACGCATTCAATTATATGTTATAGGGAATTCGTTGCCCTATAAATAATATATTATTCGATTCCCGTGTTATTGAACACACGGAATGTAATGGGGGTTTAAGGAATGTAACCAATGTTCCCTCTAATTTTTTGTGGTATGTGTGCGCAGAAATTTTGGTGTGGGCGCACTTTTCTGAAAATGACTAATATTTGTGCAAAAACCAATGAAGAAATTTTGGAGTTCTAACCAGGTAATGGGTGGGCCAACAACAAACTTTCTCAACCGGCCAACCGAGCACATTGTTACATTACATTGAAATACGTCTGAGCGCAGTAAATCTATGCGTGTGTGCAGCCTCTGAAAGCTGTGTGCGCGCGCACATGCGCACATCTTGGAGGGAACACTGAATGTAACCCCCAATCTTGACTCCTTCAGTGATCAATAAAGCACCCAATGTATTGAATGCCAATTGTTATATCGAATGTTTCACAATTCAATCCGAATACAGATATATTAAAAACACTTTAATCTTAATACAGTAAAATCAGAATAATCACAAGCACAATATGTTTCCGTACTCTCGGCGTGGCCGGAATCGATACGTCATCAAATTGGTAGCATACAATAAGGGCCATAAAGACAAAGGCTTTATCGCTGTCGCGGATCATAAAGTGACCTATTTCAGAGAATGTAACATACTATTAATATGGAAGGGTTAAATAACATTATATTCCATAGTTACAATCCACATTAGCTACAATGCCATCAATGGAGTTTGCTATACGATCAGTTTGCAGAAAACTATTTACAAGGAAAAATGGTTTAAACTCCAATACGCCGCCGACGTAGATAAGCACCCATTGCGACGTTTCCCAACATAGAAAGAATTCCTGCCCAAGAACTTTGCCGTTTTGGGGGCGGAATTTTTCTTTGTGTTTGCTGTATTATCACTGATATTTATTAGTTTTGTTATTATTATTACTATAATACTATTTAAAATATGATTAAATAATGTGAAGTCAGTTTAATATCACCATAGCTGTATAGCCACACTGCCATAAGAATCGAATTGGCTTTCACATACTTAATATACACAATACACTATATGGATATCGGAAAGCGGGGAGTACGCTCTCTGACATTCTTCGAAAGCTGTGCACAGCGCTTGTAAAGTTGGGTCATGAGCAAGAAAGCCACAGCTCTGTTCATATGCATAATTTCCCCCACGAATGTTTGTTACTCAATGAAATAAGTATTAGAAAAACAAATATAAACATGAAGGTAATCATTACATGGTGCAGCCCGTTGGAGGTATATCGCGTTGCTGACTGCCTCTGGGAATGGAATTTACAAACACTGTTTTTTTTTTCTTTTCTTATCCATTATGAATTACTAAAAAAAAAGCATGGACAGGATTCTTATATAAGCTGCGAACAAATTCTAAATTTTACACCTTCATTTGGCAACCTGAAGTTGAGACACGACACCGTGGAGAAAACATGGCAAAACTTGTCTTACTCGTATTGGCATGCGTGCTGAATCTGTGCTTGGTCTTTGGAGATGTACTACCAAGGAATGCTTTGAAAACGATGAAAGATTTGAAGGTATGATTTTGAAACTGACACAAAATTAAATTGCTTTTTCTTTGTACCGGACAAGTGGATCGTATCATTTTTTTATATTTATATGGTGGGTATTGAAAATGCTAACCCCGCAATACCACGGGGCCCACCATTGAATAATTTAAATAAAGGCTTTGTTCTCGATAAAATAGACAAAATACATTGTGAAACAATTTTTCAGTCACCTGAAGAATTGGTACAACAGGCGTCAAAATTCCAAAGGGAAGAGAGAATTACCCTGTCAAAGAAGTCCGGCTTCTGCTCAGTGAGGTATAACTAAGATTCGTATCTAATTGTTTTCCTACACATATTAACGATAAGACCCATGGAAGATAATCATTAAACTAATGATATTATCTCATGTAAGTCAATCCATCTGTTCCATCAAAAACTATAAGAAAACGAATATATTCTCTGTTAAAAATTTAATGAATTTAGTTGGTATTTTCTCGGTATAGCGAAGTGGGATACGATCAGGACTTTTGCTGTAAGGTTTGAACGTCATTGTCAACATTGCCAAAAAATATTATACCCTATCGATATGAATTTCAGACCCATAATATTGTCTGGATATCTGCTCGCCAGAGCTTCAAAAATTTTCCAAATGATGTACGATACTAGGTTGTGAGATGAGCTAAAGTAAAACACTTAACCCAGGTTAAACCTTTGTGATCACAGTTATGATATAAAATTTGACTTGATCCGAAAAGTCACTTTTGAGGCGTAGACAAAACTGTCACCCTTTCCAGTTTTTACCATGTTACTGAGTTAATTATCAAATACATTCTACAGTCCAGGTGTGCACCATTGCAAGGAGAAGAAGACCAGCCCCAAGTGCGCTGAAGTTTTTTGCCCTTTCAAGCCTTCTTATGCGATATTTAAATGGTGTTGGATTGGTATCTGCCTTGAATTCAATCTTAAGGTCTATCAGGGCATCTTTAAACAGTACGCAGTCCATAACAAATGCAGGTACGTATCATAGATATATTATAGGTTCGCAAATATTAGTTAGAAGCTTCTCAACTTGAACAAAAAGTCTTCCATTAAATAAATCTAGGTCCTGAAATGTGGATTATTTGATTTAAGCGCAGTTTAATTTTACTAGAACGTCCCCCTTTATGTATATATATTCCGCTTTCTATTCCGTGTAAATGGGGTAGTGCCACCTTGCTTGTCATCTAACTCTGTTAATATGATATTGATTTGACGAGGCGTTATATTAACTAATCCTTTTTCTTTTCATCGCTTTTCTTTTTAAACTATTGGACCGATTGCTTTGAAACTTTCAGTGGTTAAAGGATGCATTCTCTTCAGAAGACTAAATGATTTATTTATTTAAAAATTTCTGTGGGCTCTATGGGATTCCCTTTTATGTGTGCGAAGATGTTGTTGGGGGTTCCGCAAACTGTTCTTGAGCCCTGCTGTACCGGTAGCTTACTGTGACAGACTACATACTCATACTGCTTCGTTTTGACTTTCGTGTCCACATATTTGAGCATAGCTTGCTTGTTTCAATTCAGATACTTACATGAAAGCTGCAAAACTGGGACATTGTGTTCTAAAGTTTGCACTCACGTAGAAAAAAAGAAAAACAAAAAACTATGGATGGTTGTGCAAAACAACCCAACCAAACTTGCGTATTTGAACGTCAAAGTTAAGGTAAATCATAATATTTTTAGTCTTTACGCCTAACGGAAATGTATTAACTTCTTATTCATTATCGAGCTCTAATAAAACTGTTATATCCATCAATGCCAAATATATGACATTACAAAAAAGTTTCCAAAGTTCGCTCCAGATATGGTCAAGAGCATCGAATAAATACAGAAATTGTTTCTTATGATGAAATGTAGTTGTTACTTAATCGTACATGAACGACTTTAACTATGTAAAAAACGGAATGATGGTCGTAATATGTTCAGATATTTATACTCTTTCTACATCCACAGGTTGTTGATTCTTGCAAATGCAAGAATCTGTAAGCTTCGGAGTAACTCGTGAGATGGAGATCAGACAAATGACTAACGACTACGAATCATTTAAAATATATTTCAAAGACGCATATACCTATGTTTGTTTGTTTTTTGTAATGGGGTTATCAGTGTGGTTACACTTAGATAGGCCGGATACAGGTTTCCAATTGTATAATACATACTTCATTTAAAACTCCGACCTTCTGCTATAGTACTATCTATTGTCTCAGAAGATAACATATGCTTACATCAACCATTTGTCGTATAATATACATCCATATCCAAGCTCGGAGGAGTGGGACAAGGGCTGCACAGGTTAGAACGAATGTGGCAAAGTGGGACAAATATGCCATAATAAGATACCGGGATATATAGGCAATGGTTGAAACGAAGCTTCCCGCGGTACAGAGGTCTTAGCTTCTCCGATATCACTCACCTCAAGCGCATCATCTAACCTTATGAATACTCTGTCAAACCACACAGGTTTGGGTCAGAAAATATCCGCTAGTGTGGCTGGTGGTAGCCTAGTGTCCTGTTTCAGTGGCGTAGCCAGCCCAAAATTTTGGGGGGGGCCAAATTTGAAAATTTTAGAAATTATATTGGGTTTAAAACACCGTTCTTCAAGCGCCCGTTCTTCAAGCGCAAAACAACAACAGTTGGTCACCAAGCAAACTGATTCAATTACTCAGCTGGATTTTTGTGAATACAAAATCCATTAATAAACAATTTTTTATTTGAAACAACAAATATTAACAACGCAATTTGAATAAGTAAAATACATCGCCCCAATTAAAAGTCCATCCTTCGCTTCCCGCCAACTATGCTCGACACAACTCGATTAATTTTCTCCTCGGTGACCATTTCACGGTGACAGTGAAGCACACACAAATCAGAAAGGCGATTGGACGTCATTGATGAGCGCAGCCATGTCTTTACCCGTTTCATGCATGAGAAAGACCGCTCAGCCTCAACGGTGGTTGCTAGTAGCGTCATAACGATCTGTATTGCGGTGTACACGCTTGACGAGACAAGATGCCACAAAACTGGTGGATTAGGAATGGAATTCTTGAAAATTTTGGGGGGGGGCCATGGCCCCTCTGCCACCCCCCCCCCCCCCCCCCCCCCCCCCCTGGCTACGCCTATGTCCTGTTTGGTATGAATGTGGTACTTCGACTATATAAAATTTTACCTCGCACTACAACAAGAATTTTTGTTGCTTTGGACTTGAGACCGACAACTAAAACTTTTACCTTACTTACAGATATACATAGTTTTCATGCACGAGGTATTGATTCGAAATTGACGTAGATCTACTAACTTCAACTTCTAACATAACCTACCTATATTCTCATACCGAGGCACAGACAAAGTTCGGTATAGGCCGCGAGCCGAGGCCATTTATCTTTCAGTTTCGTAGCGCACATAAGGTAACTACCTGTCCTATTTTCTCTGCTTTTCCGGTATCATGGGCTAATGAACGCAGACTTCTGCATGACTTAACAATCAAATTAGTCAGCTGTTGGTGGATCCCCAGTGGTCGGATGAATATCAGATGTAGGCCTACTACTACTGCTCGCTTTTTCGTTGAGTAGCCTTTCCATAGTTTTTTTTTTCAGTTATTATTAGTTCAGTTATTCTAAGGAGGTGTTGAAAAGTATAAGTAAGATATTAAACACTTGTATATCCTTACCATAAATAGCAATTTTAGTTGAGCACTAACTCATAAGACGTTGTTAAATAGGTACGGTGCGGTAACTCCAAGGAAGACTGGACCTAGAATAATATGTCACAAACAACGATATTTTCTGGCTTGCATGAAATGTTTATGATTAATTTAATGACTCTTCTTGACTATTCAGCAGACTTATACTACTATATAGGCCACAGCATATTTGAAAATAGAAATTAATGGCTGTTTCTGTAATGCACGGTTGTGTGAAAAAGAAGAAAATAATCAATTTTACTAATGTCGGTTGGTCTAAATCTAAATTCATAGAGTCGACAAGAACCTGGGAAGCAATGATAAGTTATGCCGGAGTGGAAAGAAAGTAGCATTGGAAACGATTGAGAGGTGAGAAATCAAGTTGTAGACAGGCAGTTCATGTTTTAAAATATAGTCTATAGTCCATACTCATAGTGTCATAGGGCATTTCAGACTGTGATATATCAAAATTCAGTGTAGATATAGTCTAGTAATGGTATGCAAACACCGCTGGACTGTAGTACATGCAATGAGCATATATATATATACGCTCATTGAGTACATCAGATAAAATGCATTATGTATTCAAGGTATTAGTTAGTATTTAGTGGTATTTTTACACTCATGCTGTTCCAAATATGATTTTCTTCCTCATTTTAGATACTGTGCTACAAAAGAAAACGGCAATGTTCCACCAATCCGACCTAACGCAGGCTCTAATCCCTGCTGCTATCAGTGCTATAAAATGGATTAAACAAGAAGTCTTGAAGCGTAAAGATATATGAGAATCATAATAGTTGCAAACAGCTTAGATGGGCTATTCATATTGAAATACTTTTCTGCAATTGAAACTGCCCATCAAACTCATGTTGGAGACTTCATTGAGGTTTTCAATTCATTTTTTTCTCAACTATGAAGATCTTTTGAGGTTAACGAGGCATTAATAAATAAAGCTGAGGAATTTGTTTGTTCACTGTATAAAGAGGATATGAAGAATGTAAATGATACCAGGGCACGTCTATTTAACACTGGCAAACATAAGGATTATACTCCTCCACCCAACAATGATTCACTGAAGAAGCATGTGGCCCTCAAATCAGTTCTTGAGTTGGCAAAGTGTAGAAAAAATAGTCAAAATAATTTATGCAAGTGTGCCAAAACCAACTTAAATTGCACAGATTTTTGTTTTTGTATTGACTGCAAAAATCACAGTACACTTATACAGGAAAAGTCGATTTTCGAAATAGTGGATTTCGAAAACAATTCAGAAGAAAGTGAATTAGATATTGCAGTTGATTTAATAAGTATCATTTATTTGTTTGTTTTTTTCGGACATTTGTTAGTGTCGTAGTCCTGTTTCTAGAAATAATATTGCCTTTGTTCAAATACATAACTACATAAATTAAAAAAAGACTAATTGTAATATTTCTGTTCACTATGTTATGTACATATTGTACATTCATTTAATTTTCTTGACTTTTCCGGTAAATTTCTAAGTGAGAAATAACTGATTTATTTGTGTTTTCGTGCTCACGATGTTAATTTGTGACTTCATTGCTTAAAAATAAATACGTTTGATAGCTTCTATAAAATAGATGTAGCTTTTTATGCTGTTCTTGTTGTAAACTGCTTGTGGTTATTACATAAAATTTATTCGCTAATGTGAATCAGCGTTGTTGGTGTCGCTGCTTTCGAGGTCACTCGCGACTCCTGTCACACAATTGAAGTATTTTTTGTTGTTGGTTACATGTATGCAATATTTTTGGTAATCTACCTAATAAGTTATGATTGACTGAGCAAGTCCGATTTTGGCCAGGCAATACATTACAGGAATACATTTGTGTTAGTGTGCTGTAGGGCTCTCGAATTGCATAGTTCTTATGTATGTGTTGTAAACTTATGGTTATTGAATTTCTGGGAACCCTTATATTCAATTTCGCATCAGGATTGTGGAACAAGCTGTAATGCGTTTAGTATGTTCATTTTCACACAAAACTGAATAATTTATTTAGTTACCAGATGTGCGCTACGAAACTCATTTTCTGGGCGTTTTCAAGGCTTCGTCTCACGGCCCATATCCGTGGTAAGGATCTACAAGTGTTTAATAACTTACTTATACACTTTTCAACAACGTCGTAGCATAACTTAACTAATAATAACTAAACAGGGCTATGGTGAGGCTGCCCAACTCAGCGCAAGGTCGAGCAGTAATAACTAATATTCATCCGCCATGCAGAAGTCATTGTTCATTGCCGAAAATGTAGAGAATATAGGACAGATCGTAGCACATATTTCTTGTAGTAAAAGCGTCTTTTCCGTAAAACGTGCAACTTTTGGAAGTGGGAACAAGGCAATATTTGTTACTAAATTTTTAAGAAACATTTTAAAATCATTTTCAGGTAGTTACCTGATGTGCGCTACGAAACTCACTTTCTATGCGTTTTTCAGGGCCTCGGCTCGCGGCCTAGTGAAAAATGAGCGGATTCTCAGATGCAATTTTTGACATGACAGAAACCACATGCATTAAAATAATTAAAAAATTGGAAACATTTTTACAATGTTCCTTGTTTAGTAAAGTTGGAGAAAACGTTGAAAACTTTATCCCAAAATCAAAATTACGGCATCAAAAAAAATTCTAAAACGCATATTTTTATGATAAATGGAGTAAATAATCGCTGTACACTCGTATTTCTGAATATTCATGATTCATTTATTTACTACATTTCGTGTAAATAAATGAAAATGGTAACAAATAAATGTGAATGCCCTTTGTCAAGAATTGGCTGTCTTACCAACAACCACTATCGAAAACAAAACTTGTCAAACGACTAAGAACACTGAGGTCAAAGATAGCGTGATTGAAGTATCAAAGAATAGTCCGCGTCTATTTGTAAACAAATCATAGACAAAGGAAACAATATCGCATCACCGAATGATCTGTAATGCCGTAACACAACAACATTTCGTCTGATAGACTTTTCTTACATGCATATATCTAAGATTCATGACGTCTGTTTCAGTTTTTCGAATGAGCGAATATTTATGGCACAACAGAAAGTTGGAACATAAACTAATAAAAATGGAACAAATATAGAGGAATGACACATGCTCAGTCCAATTCCTAAATAAACAAAATGTCGTAAAGTTGACACGAAAAATCGCCTCCCAGTAGTCTTTCTGATCTTATATATAAATCCAGTATAGTTCTCACTTACATCATATGTATATATTTCCAGAGACCTTGATTGAAAAGAAACCTTCAGCACAATACCAACACAAACTAGAACACAGCGAATTCCGTTGTATTTTTGTGTTTATCCCGCCTAAAATCAATACCGCTTAAATAACGTAACCTCACAATTCTCATAGGCTCAACAAGTATTTGAATGAAAGATAAAAAAAAACATCCGTAGTCTGCGACTGCGGATAAAAAATTTCATCAATTGACATTTTGAACATTTCTTTCCTGGATGCCCAGTATTTCTGGATGCCCCGGCAGCAATACCTGTAACACTACCGAAAATAAAACGAAACTGCAGAAACGATTTACTTACTACTTACGTTACTTACCGTCAGGTCAGCACAGCTGTTTATAAAAGGAAAATCTTTTGACATGAAAGTGAATATACAGTATCATTCAATTTATTATATTACCTTATTTCGTTTTTTTTTTCGATATGTGCATCAAACGAGAGTCCTGAGATGATACTTTGCAATTCAGCATATCAGAGAACAGAATACCGCATCGGACCTCCGGCCGTTTACAAGTAGAACAGACGACTGGCTCAAAAACATCACCAAGTGGTAATTCCTTCTCTCGATGTTTCCCTAATCCTCGACCCTAGAAAAATTCCTTGTATACTTTACAATGATATACTTTTTATGCTATTTTACGAGCGTTTTCGCGAGGTATCATAACTGGCTTACTGGTTCAAAATCATCATTTTGATTCAAAATGTTGAGCCGCCCGTCATTTACAAGTACGGATAGTCAGAATGTATTCTAATCCAGTGCTTCCCCTCCAGTGCAGGAAATGACTTTGCGCCAAAAGCACAACGTGTTTAGTAGTACGCTACGTTGCGTGTGAGCTTGTCTCCTATCAAGCCTCGACTTGATCTGATAAAATCCAACATGCAAGCTTAATTAATAGTAAATTGCATGTGGATACATTGTTTATTTTCTCCTATATCCCTAAATTATCTCCTATATATATTATCTCATTTGCGAACTAAAAAAAAGTTGGGAAGCACTGGTCTAATCCACCGCACTTTGCTGGAAATTAACATTTGACTCAGAAAGCAAATTGACTAGTGAGTGATTTGATATATACTTACATTTTGGCTGCACAACTAGAACCTGACATGTATGCATGTCTGATCTTCAGGATAAGACGTCCTAAATTTTCCAATTGCCATTTTGGTTTTCCAAATTAGGATATTTTTGACAAAATTTCGAATAACAATACTGATTTTTAACATATTTTATTGCATCGCACACGTGAATATGAATACACAGAACGAGTTTTACACACAAAAAAAAAATATTTTTGTTTGAATTGCACGCTGTCCCTTAACACTAACACGCGAAATATTATAGACAAATAATAATATTAATATATACAATTACAATATTATGTTTACACAATTGAAGCAAAGCATTCACAGTATTAAGGAAAGTTTTTTAATATACACGAATTAATTATTATTATCATGAATTTTTCATATTTTTACATTTTTATAATATTTTTTTGGTCGAGGGCCACAGTGCTACGATACGTAATGTAAATAAAAAAGAAAAGAGAAATTAGTGTCCCATAATTTGTACATCTACAAATTAGTACACCTAAAATTAAAATAAACTTACATAAAAAACCTCCAACTTTAGACACAGTATTTACAAGACTGATTAACATAAAGCAAGCTGGTGAAACATTCTCCTACTCTTTTACTGCTTTGAGGAACTTATAATACAATGAACAGACCAGCAATAAATATACATAAAATTGCACATTGCCAAATGTTCAAAATTATTTTCTCAAATTTTCTAAGATGTATATGACCAGTGTATCTTCAGTATTTGATGAATGTATAAGCACAACGACAGAAAATATAAAATGAAGAAAAGGTGGTTTGAATAAGTGCAAAAACATCTAAAAAAAATACAAAACACTATTTTTGCACTTTTTTGTATATTTTTTGAGTTTTACTTTTTTATAGAATCACTGGGAAATATTATTGCAAAAAACAATTGGATTGAACGGAAAAAATATAGTTAATACTGCAAAATAGTTGGAACTCGAAAAAATGAAGGAATTTTGTTGAAGTTATCTTAGTAGGAATTTGAACTCATATGAGATACAAAATATATTTATTAGATTTTTTGAGTTTTTTCTTTTTTTTAGTTTTGAGTATTAATTTGTACTTAATTGGGAACTTCGAGGAATTTGAGTTGTAAATTAACAAATGAACTTCATAGAGCAATGCTTACTGATAAAATTTTTATATTTTTTAAATTTTAATTTGTAATAAATTTACGATTTTTTGTGATTTTGAATATTTTCAATAAACAAGATAGATAGCTGAACTCTGCCAAGCTTTTGTCGTTGGAGCTTCATAGAACAATAGGAACTTCAGGAACATCGTATTCTTTTCAGATTAGAACTTTACTACAAATCTTCAACTGAGAAGAGAATTACCCATTCATTTTATATTCTGGGTCTCGTCTGTTTTAGAAAATGAACGTTGCAAGGTATTGAACTTATCTTCGCCAGAGAATATTGAGGAACTTTGATGAACATTCTGTAATAATGAAAAATAAGTTTCAAGATTTTTGATTATAAACACCAAGCACGATATAATAGTAACTCATAGATAAATGCCTGCATCTAGTATTGATTCAACCTTGAAAATGTACAAAATCAACACAAAATTTTGCCCAACAAGTTTTTACCAGAACGGTTATAAATTATTCATCCGTAATTTGAAAATAGCATCAAGAGTCTTTTTTTGCCAGGCCGAAATGACGTCACGGCGGAGAGAGTTTTAGAGTGATTGCTTATCATAATTGAATTGAATTCAGATGACCTTCAAATCAGTTCAAAATTTTTATCATTTTTATCCTATAGGCAGAATTGATTGGGGTATAAGAACCAGAATTGAACTTGGAAATAAATATTAGTTCTACCACAGAATACCAAAACAGCTCGTTCTTGTCATTTGCTGATTGTGTGTTCCTTTCTTGGCATTCACCGCGTGCCTTAATATGTATTGCATTTTCAATCAAGGCGCCACACTGAACACGATGAAAGGAACTCATGTAATATCGAACAACTCGTCTAATTCTGGCAATATGTATGAATTCTATAACGATAAACTGGTTTCATACAATTTTGAATAAGAAATCTAATGAACTATCTAAGTTATAATTCTATATTTTCAAATATATCAATGTTTCCAGTAAAACGCTCCATCACGGTAAATCGGCGGAGTAAAAAAAAAACTTTCACAAAGATATATGTGCCAAAAAGTATCACATCGAACAGACAACGCCTCATGGCGACCATCTGTTTTAGCTATGAAATATAATAAATTATGCAGCCCAGCACCTACGTCCCGAGACGACATGTCGCTAATTACTGGCCGGCTTACGGCTGTTTGGACCGGAATTCCAGATTTGGTACGGTTTACGCATTTTCTTTTATTTAAATTTAATATGATAATGTTTTTCAGCAATTTTGATATTACAAACAAGATTTTACGCAAAACAACGGATTTGTGTTGATTTCAAACTATTTTGGGACACGTTTCAATGTATTTTAGTAGAAATAATTTAAATATTATAAAGGAATGAGATGTTGAAGAAAATCAACTCGAATACTCAAAATACCAGTGAAGTGGTATCAATCAATTTCTAAATATGTTTGCACATAGTGGACTCACCTTTCACACAAACTACGTCAAGCTAAACCACGTGAGAAGTTCTTCTCATATGTTGGATCCAATTTACTCCCAAACTTTCTGGATAACATCTCTCTTGAATAATACATTCACAGAATCTGAGGAAAATAAATTGAGGTTAAAAATTAAAAATGCTAACAATTTGAGTAGCAGATTACAAATAACCGACTGGTGATTCAAATTCTGCAGAAAGTTGTAGCTAGTAATAAAATCTAATCTTAAAATTGACATAAAGAAACTTTTTAAATTGAAAACGAAGCCTCTCCTACACGCTGTCTTGCTGACTATAAACTAGAAGGGCGTCTACCCCACGGACGTTCACTCAAAATTGAAACGTGTAGGCAGCAGATGCATATTCGATTTTCATTTCATAAAGAGATGGCGCGCATGCAGAAAGTTTTTATCTTTCTTATGCAAAAAGAGCACTTTATTTTTTCTCCGAATGCCAGCTTCGAGTCATATGTATGAATTTTTTATAGGAGTGAGACTCACAAGCAACTAAAAATCATCATGCGACACCGACGGTGACCTTTACGAAGAGCAATATTCTTTCTTTTCGACATTTATAAAAATCGATAGAATTGCTACCGTAGCAGATCATCTTTAGTAATACCGATATAATTGTATTGTAAAATCGGGGACACGCACACCTTTGATCGTTAATATAACGGAGAAAAACTCAATTAAATGATCCATCTTTAACATTGTAGCACGACTTCCAAAAAATAATTAAAGTTTCATTTTGCTAACAAAAAATATTATATATAATAAGTTATTAGATATTGTCTTTCGAACTGTCAGCAACGTAAAATGATGATGCTTTGCTCAAGTTATTTTAAAAAATTGCTGCGTGCGTGCGATAATACTTTTGAATAACTGGTAATATTCATGTTTTTACTCTTTGTATTATATTCAAACGGTGATGTCAGCAATAAGGCATAAATGATAAATATATTTAGTGGCACAGAACCTCAATGGATTGTACTTTGTACAATCGTATATTTGCGATAAAAATAATTTATGACCACATATTTGTACCTAAGTAGATGATAAGTCTTTTGAAATGATATCTCAGGGGTATTGGCCATCGATTTTGGTCAAGATTAAGCCCGGAGGCGGCGAAACAAAGAAATTGGACATGTGGTCAAGCATCTGGGCTGCTAGATAAAGACAAAAATTTAACATTAAAGCTAAGAAATTTCGCCAAAGATAAGTTACCAAAATTTGCGCAAATATATCACGCTCGCAAAATATTTTGAAATTTGTATTCTAAATTCTGTTCAAAAATTTTTAAATCATTTTCAAATTCAGTTTTGTTAGTCAGTGACGAGAACATCAGTTCAAAAACTAAATTCTGACGCATGATCGCAACAACATAAATAATGCATCGTAAATTGATAAAAAGAGAAAGAAAAAAAAAGAGGAGAAGTTGTCAGACGATTTCCAGGAATTTAGCATTACTCTCCGCCCTTTTCCCCTCCAAATAAAGCTTGGCTTCAACCAAAATGACACGTTTTATCGATCGGGTGGTGACTCTATATCTAACATTGGTATGACTAAAAATAGTCTCTCAATTGCTTCAAGTTGTAATAAATTGCACGAAAATATGAAAAAATTTCCCCACGGAGAAAGGAAGCTAAAGCCTATACGAGTATATAATAAGCCGAAATAAACCGATTTATGAAACCGAACTAAAATTCAGAATAGGACAATTCAATTAATTTATCTAACATTGAAACAGCCAAATGGACTCATATGCAAAGAGCATTTTGACGAAGGTAATATTGTAGTAGTATGCGGCTCACACATTTCAGAAATTTGTATACAATAATTACTTCGCTCACCTCTTTGTAGAACTTCTTTGCGGCGGTATCTCTCTTCTTTCTCTAAGATTGGCCAGTTTTGACCAGTTGACCAATGACCGCAATCGTTGTGTGTGTTCTCTCCTGAATGTTCTGGGTTTATATACCTTAGTTCTCTGCGTGTGACATCTGGCTATGATTTCCCTTCGGAGTGAACGATTTTTTCTCTCTCTTTTTTACAATCTCCCATTGGTATTATGTTTTAATTCTCATGCCCAATTTGCATTTGCGTCACACGAGCGAAAGAAAAAGGGCGTTGAGACAAAAGCATTTTATCAGCTGGTGCCGTTGGGCGGTGCGGTCTCCATTAACGCCCATGCGAATGGCGTGTTTTGAACAAAAGAACCATGCGGATTGGTACAAGTCTGAAACTTCTACTATATTATTACGCTATCCCGCTTCCATGATGTTGATTTGTGACTCAAGAAATGGAAGAGTATTATTTTAATGCATCAACATGAATCCACAAATATCTTAACTTTCCTGCTTGGTAAATGCTTCTACATTATTCGTTCGAATTCTATTATCAAACACCGGTTTCACCCGACAAATTTTCATAATTTTGAGTTTATTTCAAAAAAATGCGAACGAGATTGTGTGAGCAGGGACAACGATAAATCTCGTCTCTCTATGTATTCATGAAATATAGTATTATTTTAAAATTGGTTTGAGTTGAAAAAATATCGTTATGTATATATATATATTAATTTAATATACCTCGGTATCGACATTTAAGTCTCAGTTGACTAGGCACAATTTTAACAATGTTGCTACTTTGTCGTTTGATAGTTTCAATGATATTATTTTTTAAATGGGTGAAAGTTTTTCTATAAATTCTGTAATTTATTCTTGCCACCTCTTGAAGCCATTCTTCAGTCTTTTTAAAGCTGACACAACCTAAATATTCCAAAAGGTCATTCAAGTGCTCGGGCCAATTTATGACAGGTGTCCAATTACTGGTAACATTGATCGGCTGTCACCAGCGGACTAATAAAGAAAATAATTACACCACAAAAAATAATGCATATTGCATTTACTGCTAAAAAATTTAATAAAATTTTATTTCACTTGCATAGCTGAAGAATACGTATGCGTATTGCGGATTATTTTGCGCAAGAGAAAATTGTAACAAGCTTTAGACTGGAGTTTGGGATCCACAAACCAGTAAAAAAAGCCAGATTGTTTTAGCCGAGCTAAACTGAGAGGCTTCATTACAATCCTGAATTTTGTTTGCTATATATCAGTGGTAATAACACAAAATAACACGACAAAATTGAGAATGAAAATTATTCAAAATAAAGGATTTTTCAAATAGCCAAAAACGCTGTTTGTGTGCAAGATAAAATTGATATGTGTTGGGAAAAAGTTAAACATGTTCTGTTGGCGATGATAATATGGCCAAAGTGAATGTTTCGTATTTTTTACAGGGCTATTTGGCGTCAGCTTTCTTCATTCAAATTTAACTATACGAGTAAAGTAGACGATTTTCATAATTACAAAGATAATTACCGCTGCGTCGGGTGTTGAATAGAGCCGGACGTGGATATATTCGAATATTGATAACAGCGAATCTGGTTTGTCATTTATGAAATTTGAATAATTCAAATGCATGTTAATCCTTCGTGTACATCCCTTGCACGCATTTAAATCGAAAGCAGATGCACGGCGGTCGATAATATGACAACCCCAGGTCAAAATTTGACATGCATATTACATACACTTCCTTTTCTTTGCCTAATCCACATATATTTCGCTATATTGCTGGAAAATTGATGACACCCGGCACCGGTATTTATGATAAGCGGAAAATCAAATGTACAAAAAATCATATCAGAATTAAATATGACCATGTATGATGCATATTTGAGCGCATGCACTACGGATTGAAAAGGTTAATTGTTCCACTAAGGAACGGGCTGGTTTTGAACATCGTGGCCGTTGCCAGTAATTATTGGGTTGTAAACCTATCTCCAAGGCTTGGATTTATCAGTGGCAAGTAATTCCTGTTTCCGACTTGATTTATCCTCCTTTGGTATTGCAAATTCTTCCTTCCGTCTTATTTCAAGTCGCTTTTGGTTGGGTAGTATTTAGGAAAGAAAATATTTTTTTTAAATGACGCGGAATTTTGAGCTATTTCTGGGGTTTCCTAGGAGTCAATTTGCACGCATAAAAAATGAATTGCATACATAAGTTTGTGGTAAAACATTCTGATTATCAATTGAGTGATAACCTAATTTTTCCATATGTCCTGCCTTATGATATGCATGTAACATTGAGATAAGTTCCAACAAAGTGTATGAAAAGAACAAATATCCTACTGATAAGCATTATTTATTTTTGTCGTATATCCGCTATCAATTGAATAATAATGATACAGCAATGACATAAACTAGGGCGATAGTGCTGTTTGTTTTTTATCACAATTATCACTGAGGAAACCTCTAAATGATAACGAGAACAAATTATTCCTACTCGGGAAAATCACACAAAATTTTCCCATCCGCACCATAACAGCACATGGTTCATTATCACAAAGTAGGCCTACTCAATATGTTAATTGAAATTTCTTATTATAAATATAATAAAGAGATCGTTAAATAAAAATTGAGCATTGTGAAAATGAAGGCCCTCAATCCGCAATCAGGCATTGTGTTTGTACTAATTAGACGCAGACATCTGCTTACAACAATATGACATGAATATTAATTTGCAGTGATGTGCTGCACCATCTTGTAATACGATCGAAAATAAAAGTCGTAAAATGCTGTGATATACATAATGACCACCTGCCTTTGCAATTGCAATACAGATGGCATCGAATAGAGTTTAAATGTGAGTGATGGAAGATACCTACATAAACGTAATTCCAATTTTTTCATCAACTAAAATAGAATGATCACGTTCAAAATTGTTTTTATTTTTTGTAAATTTGCGCCATGTCATAATGGCCCATTATACAATATAGAGTTCACGCAAAAGATAAATCATGAAATAGATGAGCTGTTTAGTATCCTTTTATTCCTGTTAATTTTATTTTTCTGTGACAAAATGGTAGCAGTTTCTTGGCCAAAATTCAGGAAGCATCGCAATGTCTCTTCTGAGCATTTTGTCGTTTAGGTGTTTTTCAATCAACAAAATGTATTTCATCACTTTATTGAGTAAGTTTGTTGAAACAGTGATATATATATATATATATGCAATTTCTTCCCACTTCGAATATTTAGCCCACGTACATATGGCATGGGCTAATATAGATTTGGTTCACTTTTTTTTATACAAAATCGGATGTAAATTTTCAAAAGTAAATGTTCATTGAATATTTGCATTTGTACAGCCCATGATAGACGTTGATGAAAGTACTGTATACATGTGTACATAAATATTTTTCAAAAATCTGGCATCGTTGGTTACGTAATGCCGGTAGGTTATTCTTAAAAATTTTCATTCGTACAACCCATGCTATTTGTTGATGAAAATATTTTATATATTAGTATAGTATATAAATATTGCAAAAATCTGGCATTACTGGTTACGTAATTCCCGGTAGATTATTCTTGAACATATTAATAAAACATGGTGTGAACACGGAACAGGTTAAATTAGCATAAATATTTATAGTAACTACGCTGAATAACCAATTAGATGTTCGTGTAGGGTTTATTGACTCGTTGAAAATTGCTTTGAGTATCAGGTACCCAGGGCAATTAAAAATAAGCCTGATTGGAAATTTTCATCAGAGCACACCTATTAAGGCAGGCACTTCATTCCCAAATGAAATTGCTTCCAATTAAGAGCACATATGTTCAAAATACATTCTTAACTTTGATTATGCCTAGGTCACATATCAACAAGAACTAACAATCACGATTCAAGTTTGACCTGTTGTTGGTTTTGGAGGGTATTAAAATTGAAAGAGCGACTCGATCAATTCCAATCTTACCTAAGAACAATAGTCGATATCGCGAAATTACTTTTCTCGCTTTACCAATATAACCAGCTACCCACGATCGATAAGATAAATCGCTAAGCCCAAGGTTCTATCTTCAGTAAGACCATGAAAGGTATTAAAAAGATTTTGATAGATTTGAGGTTTTCGAGCAAATGGCGATTTCGAAAGGCGACTTCCATCGAGTAAAGACTGTTGCCAGAAAGAATATTACAACATTGTCCAGACTGGTTAACCACATTTAAAAATCATGTCTGAATCACCCATTCTGTGTAATGATCATTCAATTTATTACAAGAACATGGAAATACAATCTCGTAAAAAAACCTAAAATTAGAAGCTTTTAAGAATTATAAACATTCATCAACTTTGGTTATCAAAGTGATGAAGTCACACGAATGTATCTGCATAAATGTATATCACGTGAATACTAATTTTAATGGCTGTTTTACGGTTCGGAAATTATTTAACTGAGTTTCTAAATGCTGTTCTGTATTTGTCATAAGGGCATGCGGTGCACACTAGATATTTTCCTATTTAGGTAACACATCAAAATTCTAATTAACTTTTTTGAGGTCATACAGAATACGTGATAAATCCTACTTCATTTAAAATTAGTCATATTGAGGTTCACTCAGAATTTTCTTGTTAATTTGGGATCGAGTCATTACAAATTTTCATGGGAACAAATACAACTTTTTTTGTAATAATTAAACATTGCTAATGAGTTTCCTGTGTGTTGATTGTATCCCACGCTACAGTCCTAGATATGAGAATTGCATTTGCCGTCGTGAAACTGAAGCCGTCGTCTTTAATTCAGCGGAAAATATGGATAGTAGGATGCACTAATTATCAGATTATCTGAATGCATTTATTGATAATTGACCCCTTCACAATATGGCAAGCGCGTGGCGCGTGGTCAATGTTGCGCGCTCCCGCGATGCCCCTTTCTCTCTCCCTTGCGACATTCTGATTTCGGACAATACATTAATTCCGTTGGTTAATTAAACATGCGGGGTTATTGCAAAAAAAGAAAAAGGGAAAGGGCTTTTTAAGGGATGGTAGCTGGTGAGGTAATCATTCAAACTTATTCGTCTCTTGAAGTTATCATCACTACTAGTGAAGCAGTTTGTAAACCATCGACTAGTTTTGTTGTGATTTCCGCCGTGTTCAATGTGGACCTTGATATAAAACGTCGATTATGACGTCATTAAGGCACGCGGTGAATGCCACGGAATTTCAACACTTTCTTCTGGTATTAAAAAAACTATAAACTTTAGCTTTCTACGTATAAATTGCACTGTTTTTGAGTATTCTATGCGAGCCTTGTTGTCACAAATCAGTAAGGCACGCGGTGAATGCCGGAAAATTTTGCTACTATCGACTGTCATTGTGACGACATTATGAATAATAATTGTGTTGTAAACGCGAAATCTATTGATTGAAATACTAATACGTCGATTCGAACGCAAGATGTAGTGATTGTGATTTTGGTTAATGGGTATGTTCTTTTAAACCATAATACTTTTGACCAACGGGTGCTCTTAATAGTATATTTATATATTGCGATATAAAACATATAGCTTTCAATATTCTGTAATGTATCCCGAAGTCCTTCTGAACTGAAATTGTCTTTACAGTCACAAAAGTGTGTATTCCTCACTATTCAATAAACTTTGGAGCGTGTTGTTTCGAACTCATATGAGGAATAATATGAAACCATCAAAAGATATTTACATTCATGAGTACAAAATCCATTTGTTAAAGTCAAATATAGTATTTTTATCATATCAAAACGCACGTTATTTGGTACTAAAAGCAACAAGCATACTAATATGGGATGCACGGGAACATAAAGACAATTTACTGTACCACAAACTATACATCATAAAACGAAGTGATTTTAAGTGTATCACTCGTAATAATAAGCACCATATCGACGATAAATAATCACCATAATCACATATTATAATAAAAACAAAGAGAGTATTCCCTTTCTCATGGAGCATTGAACAATCGAAAGTCGCGTGCCGCGCTCGCGTATCACTCGTTTTAAATCTCAGCTGGATGTCCATTGTCCAACGTGACCCAACTTTTGACCTTAGTCATAAATTGATTTTTGGTCTTCTGGTTCTCGGTCAGCTGAGCGAGGTCATCATGAAGACTTATAAAATTCATAACCGTTCTTATAACAGAAATGATGATTATTATTTGATATATAGATGGAAAAATAGAAGCAATCGCCATTTTAATAGTCTTTTAATCGAGGGCCTATTAAGCAGAAAAATAGACGGTAGGCCTCCATTTGGGGGTAGATGTGTACTTCCAATCAAGTACAATATAAATAAATCTGTAAATGCAGTTTTATTACTTTCTTTTCGACAAACTAGATATATATATATTATGAAGTGTCGATACTGGGTTAACAAGCAACACCATCAACAGAATTTCAGTTCATCAATTCATAATAAAATTGTTACCGATCATGATCCGAACTTGAAACGAGCACATTAAAGTCAGTGTTTTATACATGGCCGATGATATTTTTATATTATCGATCGAGCCATTGATCCAAAGATAATGCAGATTCCTCATAAAAGACAAATCCCGTCTATCTGTCTTTAAAGATCACATTCCCACCCTTTTAGAGTTCAATATTCAGAATTTAACCAGTTGTGCTCCCACGGAATGCTTAAAATCACGTGATTTATGGCGCCACTGGGTATGTACGTTTTAAACAATGGCAAACAGCAGTTGAAGAGTTAGCGACGAAGATGAAAGATAATCGAGCATTGTCTTTTGATTGGGGAATATATTAATCAGACCGAAATGCGACATGGAGTTTTTTTAAACAGCATCCGATTTTATATTAGAATCGTTGCCATGCAAAAGTAAACAATGTATATGTTAAAACAACATCTTTGTCTTTCTAAGCAATCTACCCACAAACATAATTTGCGACCGATTTAGAACTTTTTTAACAATCGTAAAGTGACGCGATCGCCCGCCACATGTGATTCTCTCTCGACTAACAGATGTCCAGCGATGACTCTTCGTATGAAAACTTTAAGCCACGATGAATGATTCGATTACGCTTCGCTATGTATGCAACATGGATGTGAGTAGCCATGCTACGAATATGATATATATTTAAACAAATATGTATCTTCATTACACGATGTTGTCTCAATATCAATACCTGAAGTACATGGGGCGTGGTCGATAGTTCGATTGACAACTTATATTATACAAAGCTATATTGGCCATGGTCAGACAGGCTCGCAAATAATGTGGATGGCCATGAGTGATGTCTAATAATAATTGATGTACATAATACCTTATCAAGAATCCCTTTTATTTATACGGAATGAACTAGTTTTGAATGAACTGTCTTGTTATATTTGGCACATATTATTTTAAAGCGTGAGTTTGGAAAAATAATTGTCGTTTTGTTGGCATTAAGTTTCTGTAACGGAGATATAATAATTATAGTCGATAACAAAAAAAAATCAAGTATCTATTAGTTATTAGATATCAAAAGATCATGTTGCTTTTGTCAGCTGGCTATTTATTCTGCCCCTGGATACATCCGTTTGTTTGCATAGTAATGGATAGCGTTTTGAACAAAAATTCATTCATTTTCTTGGCTGTTTTGACAAAATTATCATTAACCGATTTTTGGTGGAAACATACGTCATATGTAATATCTGCAGACAAACAACAGTAAATAACCTTCATTATAATCCTGATTACAAATCAATGCATTCAATTAACATACATCTTTTACTTTAACATATTATTGATGTAGGTTCGACAGAATAATCTAATTCATGAGCACAAACAAATATGATTTGATGTTACGAAATAAAAACAATTGAGAGAATGAATTTATCTGAGAATAGCTAAAAATTTCTCTAAAAATGAAGTACAAATATATGTGAAACGTATATAAAACTGTTCGTTATTTTCGTTTAAAAAAATCGTTACAAATCAAAAGCTTGCAACACAAAAATTGAAAAAAAAAAAAAATTGAAATTACCAATATAGATGGCTTTCCCTAATTGCATTAGAGGTTGAGCTTGTTGTAAATTTTTGCATAATATATAAAATTTAGCATAGAAGAATATTGAAGTTTAATAACATAGTATAGTCAGCCAACGTGAAATTCGACTTCGAGAAGGAGAAGCTTTGAAAATATGAAATAGTTATCTTTGCGTCGTAAACGAAGTGATTACCACTACTAGAATTTAGATGTTTAGAAGAGAAGTAAATGGAGAGAATCTGACTTCACAAACAGCCACAGGGATGTATTGGAGATATATAAATGTATAATCAATTGTTTATTACACTTGCTCATGACCAGTTTTGAGTTGCAGGTTATAGTAAGCTTTAGTTAATCTCTGTTTCAAAAAAAAACAGTATTAGTATTGAGGTGGTCTATAGCGCCATCTCTCGGAAACAATTTTTTTTTAATTCGAGAGAATGTAAAGACAATTGCTGCATTGCTTCATTAAAATTACAGTACCATTACTATTCTTTGCAAAACTAAAAACAAAATTACATCTACCTGTAGCCCGCAACTTAAAAAGCAATTTCATGTACAATATTTATATATTTCACAAGACTCACACAAATAACAGATTCGCCAGAATAGAATTTCTGAAATGCTGCCAGTTCTCTCACAAGATTGTAGTGCGTTATTAAGAGGTTGTCAATTGTTAATAAACCTAATTCAATTGTTCGGATTTCTTATTTAACTCTCAGACATCATGCGTGTATTTCATTGAATAGTACAATTTCGTCTGTTAACTCATAACTTCCCATCATATTGATTACGCTGTAACCCTTCTTTCTTCAAACCCTTCAAACTTTTTCATGTTTGTAGGTGACAAACTTAACTTTATTATTAACAGTCTATTTGCACCGGACAACAATTTTGAAGAGACGCCATATAAACCATAATGCAGCAAATGCGTATCGGAAAATGAGGATTTTGTCGTGTTTTATTTGAAATGTTACAATCTTCGATCCTGCCACCCGCCCTTAATAAATTTGAACGTTCAGGTATATGGTTTTATGCATTCTTTTAGGCGAAGCTGAATCTGGTTGAATAAGTTTTCACCAATCGTTGAAAAACGACTGTAGATAGATAGTAAGATTAGGACTAGATGTTAGGCAATAAGGAAAGATGTTTACCGCAAGCAATGTACCAGCTTTGCATCATAACTAATCATTGCGCAATCCACTACATATATACTACAAGCTACAGCTAAGATAAACAAAATCAGATTTGGGATTGACAAAACTTTCGCTCCAACTCCATTCCAAGCAAAATTTTGACTCCGTTCTCCAACACCGAACTCGGAGAAAATTGAATTTTGATAAGAAGACATTGGGGTAGTAATCCCCTCATAAAATAAACATACTGTTAAAAACGCTTTGTAAACGTCATGGCTTTTGAATTATTTGACTTTTATCAGCAACATTGAAAGTATGAAATTCAGCCTCCGGCCGACAGCCCCGATCATTTTCAGCTCATTTGACATAATTGTCCACTTATTGCATATATTTAAGAGAGTTCAAAGGAGAATGAATAATCAGTCTTCCAATGCAGACAATACATTGACTAGTATTTCACAGTGGTCAGGTTAGGCGGTCCATCTCGTTGTGAATATTCTTTGCAACTCTTCACAAATTCTTAGACTTTCTTATTTTGCATCATTCACGAAATTTAATTAAAAAACATGTAAAAAATATATAAAAGTAATTATGAGTGATTAATACACTAAAAAATTGCGATTGACTCGTCTTCCAGCATTTTAATTGTTTGTTAGGATTATTGAACATTCAGCCTCTGTTCCAAAATTCCATGGCCAAGTTCGCAAGACCCGTTAGCGCCATCTTCCTGTAACAGAAAACGCTCATTAAGTGAAAATTTCCACAACCTGATCACTTGTATTAAATGGCATCAAATAGCATGCAAATTGGGAGTTTTTCGGTAAGATTACTGGCCCGTATTACTTCATTATTAATGGGGAAAATTCTTTCCAGACATGATGACGTCATATCAACATTTTTCTCTCCCATCGTTACTAACTTCAAAACATCTACGATCAAAGGTATTTTTATCTGTCAAAAGAAGAATAAAAAATATTACATTTGTGCCAAAAATAGCAATTTTGATTCAAAGAGGAAAAACGATACCTGTTGATCCACAACATTCAATATGTAACGTTTTCCCATCAAATCCGGTACATTATGATGAACAACTCCAAGTCTTGGAGCGCTGTTTATTTCCAATAAATAGGGTTGCATATCTGAGTCCAGAATTACATCAAATCCTAAGATATGAAACCACCTAAAAATTAACGAACAGATGAACAATAGTCATTTTACTTTTTTCAAAGTAAAACAAATGACAAAAAAATCGTCAGTTCACGGAGATATGTATCACCTATCTCCCCCATCAACCTGCCTTAAAGGCGCAGGCAATAACAACCCCCCGCGCCTAGCTCTGCACGAGCGAGCGTATTTCCGAAACCAGCCACTGTCGAGTAAAACAATTGCAAGGCAATTTGTTACAGAAATTGGCGCATTTGAAACGAATTGCCTGCTTTTATAATGAGCCGCAAAGCATCAAAGAACTCAGCCTTCAAAGATACCTACTACAGTATATACCTCTGACATAAACAATCGAACCCGCGTAAAAAATGCCGCTTTATGTTCGCGATCAATGAGCACGTTATATATATTATGTTACCAGGGATGCAAGAGACAGCTAAAATTACCACCATTTATTTTATTAATTTTGTATGTGCATGAATCCGAAGTCATAACTCTATATATTGGTGTGCGCTGTTTACCTCGTGCGGTATGGGTTTATTTCTTGTGTTTGCTTTACTTCATCCAGAAGAACTAATGACGTGTTCACGCATAGTTCTTTTATTCTCCTCGTCGCTGTTTCGACATCACATCCACGCTCCCTCAGAGTCTGTCAAAAAGTCGTATTAGATGGAGCAGACAGTATTAAAACTAATCTTTCAGCGTTAGTGAACCGAGACACTACTCACTGACTCAACTACCCACTTCTTTGACGCTCTTCCACGTCCTCTTTGAACCAGTGCTCGGAGACGGAGTTTGTTGAAAAGATTTGTTATGAACGTTGATTTTATAATTTGTCAAGTGCATGAAAATATCGTCACAATTTTTATCACACGGCGATTCGTATTTTGTTGTACATAACCTCACGAGACCCTCCTGTACAAAACAAAAACATGATATTTATTGTGAAGATAAAATGCTGATTTCCAATAGATTGATTGATTGATTCGAACTTCATAGATTGATCCAATTCAATCTGCTAGTACATGATTTTATCACAAAGGTAAAGAGACACCAAGTACGTAATCACCTGAATGATATAAGTTCAAGTTAGTGATAAAACGAAAAAAGCTAGTTGAAGGTGGATAAAATTGTCGGATAGATGGAGGTAAAAAGAGAATTCCTTTTAGTGAAGACTATGCATAGCATATTCTATCTTGTTTAAAATAAAAATAGGATTTTATGACTCACATTACATAAATATATTTCTGGTGGATCAACTCTAGCAATCACAACATAAAATCGTAGATCAAATTTATATCCTTCAATAAGTAGAGGCGGATCAAGATATTTCTAAAAAATATAGATAAATACATATTAAAAAAGTATAACACTACTTGCTACCGATATTTACAAATCTCGAGTTCAATTAAAAAGCTCAGAAAATTTTCGGTGGCAACACCTCATCTGAAGTGGAAAACTATTACGAACATGAAATATTGCGACTTTACAGAGCTTTTGCGTAGCTAAAGTATCATATATCAACTATAACATCATTTTTAATATACTATTACTCACGTAACCACTATATCAATAAAATTTTCAATTTGAAAGCGTGCCAATGAGCAAGTTACAGTTTATGAAATACTACCTGTACAATGTAATTATTGTCCTCTGTCTGTATATCTACTGATCCATTCGCTAAAAATATTCCGTTACCATGCGTTCCAACGCTCGGTTTGTATATGTAATACGTCGCTAACTCGCCATCGCTCAATACTTCTGAAAAGACAAACAGTATATACGCGAGTATATAGTCATTATTGGTGAAAACTTTCAATGTATTTCCGACTCAACTCTCGTACACCGCCACCACGAGTATGTTAGGTATTATTAAGTATCGGTGGATCTTGGCAACTCAGTGATTGCTCAACTTCGCTCAGATACAGTGTCTTTTTCTTCATAGTGAGTACGCGTGACCATACTCTGAGCCAATTGTTTAGATATAGTTTTAATCATTTCTCCCATATCCTAACATATAGAACATTTACTTACTGTTTTCCTGTTTGGTTTCTTCTGTGAACTGTTTATACTGCTGGGGAAGAATCCACGTTTTGGGATGAAATTGAAATATGTTTGGATTGATTGCTTTCTTTGTAGTTAATATTTCTGACAATCTAGCCTGAAGTGAGACAATATTATAAGAAATAAATGTTGAAATTATCTTATCTATTCATAATATTATCTTTTGAATTGAATCTTCTCCAAATCAGAATACAACCCCACCTTTGTACAAAGTTCCAGAATACCCGGTATTTTATTGACTCCGACCAACTTCGGCTCATGTTCAAATAAGTCTGCATAATAAGTCTTATCGTGCCAGTAAAAGTCTGCATTCTCATCTGCCAAAAATACAGTAAAATACCAAACCTTAATAGAATTACAGAGTAAATAGGAATGAAAGAGCGCCAACTTAGAAAATATATATAATACAGACTGCAGCCGGTATTACAACCAGTCGTTCGTTATACATGCGGCAAACCTACTTTCCACTTTCACATTATACAGCGTGTTAAAGAAGTTGCGCAAAATTAAGATAAATTTTTCGTTATGCTAACGTTAAAAGTAGCTGTCAAAAAGCGTCAGTCGTGAAATGTTCAAATGGCATTTCGTCGTAATTCAAACATGTTCAAAGGTGTCAGTCGGTAAATGTTTTAAATAGCATTTCATCCTAACTTATGTTAATTTTGCGTTACTTTTTAACACCCTGTATTATACATTTTGCGTGTCTTAATTTAACCTAATTAAGCGTTAAAATGATACTGTTATAATTTGGTATAGTCTAGAGATAAATAGCTTTTATTAAAGTATTTATATGGATATACCTACCCTCTGGAACCTTTTCCCACCCAAGCCTCTCAATCGCTATTTCCATATGAGGTTTATCAAACCACCATTTGATACGCATCTTTGGAATCGTTCTGCATAAATCCCTCGCCATATCAAGTTATTAATTGAAACCGCGGTTATAACCTGAAGGGGTATATAAAAAGTGTTAAAAATGCTTTTCTGCAACACAAGACATAATATGCCCATAAAGTACTACTACTTGATTGAATTATTAATCATATTTATAGCTCGCTTCAGCTTTTGAATTATTCGTTTTAGCGTCAAAATTTCTCGTTGCGATATAAAATAGCCAGCTGATTTACAGAATTACGTGGTCCTGACACGAAAAAAAAAACGGATATGGCGTGATTTCATTCGGCACTTTTCAAATGGATGGTTTGACCGTCATTACGTACTGAGTGTAGTATTCACCGAGATTACAGTTGCATAATATTGCGTTCTAGAAAATTTTGTCATGCACGAATGCAAGCTTTGTGAGGGGAATTTAGTCATCAATAATACAATACAACGTCATTTCGATAATATAAATATTGTACAACCTGCACGGAATTCTATACACTACTGAATAACTTAATGCATAATATTGTTAAGTTTTTCGTATGAAAACGTCGCCGAATTACATCGTTTTGTTGACACATGATGATCTACGTATACCCTCAACATGAATATACATTGTAGCAATCGTTAGCTTTACTTATCAAATTTGAATGAATCAAAATTTGATTTTCTGTTCGAATTGCAGATATTAGGTTCGCGTCATGTATCACGAAAGCTTGACAAGTGCCAAACTGAAAATAAACATTGTCGCCAAACCGCCCACACGCTAGAACTGTTTTCCCCGCGAAGACGCACTAACATAACTTCAACTACAGAACTACTAGTTTACAGTCTCACTTTTTACCCTTTTAGACTGGACTACACGTGTAATTTTATCGCCGTTTACAGCGAGGCTTCTTGTTATTATTACGCTCGACTGGCGTTCGACGTCTATTCTGAACAGAGACGAAAATTCCCGATTGAGTGGTTTCAACATCTCGAGGGCATTCATTTGCTGAACACGCAATGTCCACATCGAATGGTTTTGTTTGTCGGATATTCACAAAAGATGATTATTAAACTAGGTTTTTGGGTTCTAGGAAAGCTTGTCAAATATTCTGTAGTTTGCGAGCACACACGGGCGTTGGCAAGATGTTTTCATAGGTATACAGCGGGATTGTACCAGCGTTTTAATGTTCTCGACGTCGGCTGTACATATTTTCTCTAAGTTTGACGTTTCTTGTCAACTCTAGGCGTTTTTCTGCCAGTCAGCTCTGGCGTAGCATTACTATGGCTGTAAGATGGTATCGTTTACACCGTTCATATTCGTTTCCTAAGAAGGCTATTTATACAATCAAGTTTCGATAATTCCATTCATGTCCGGAATTGCGTATTTCCCTGTTTGCCGCTGTCTTCTCTTTACAGAAATCAACTAATATCCCAACCAAAATCAATACCTGCTGCAGTGCAATAAATACTACGCTATTTGTCGATGAACAGTACTTGACATCTTTATCTAAAGATAGCCTGTGACGCCGATTCATGAGAGTTATATTAAAATCCGAATTAGAAACGATATAATTCTTAATCCTCTATTCTACAGGTTTCGTATTATTGACTCAAATGAAATAATTTATAGATGTGGTAATTTGACTGTAACTGCTTATATCCTGTAAGACAGACGTATTATATGCATGCCGCTTATCAAATTAAGATCACAAGCACCGCTTTGAAGGCGTGAAACGGTGAAGTTACGAACCTGAACTACTATCTACTATCTATTCTAGAACTAGAACAGTTCAATTGTATCATAATCCCGCCAGCGTCATACATCATCTCGGTTATCAAATCTTAAGCCTTTGTTATTCTGTTCCGGCATGTTTTAAAAGCGAAGAACGACAGGAAATAAGCTACTAGTCATGTCATAAAGAAAACTCACCAACCAAGCGTGCAGCATAGATAAAGGAGTCAATGACAGTCCTAATTCGTATGTATTTAATATTGCACATATCAAATAAGGTCACATAGATAAGAATGAAAAAAATTAGATGTTTTGTATTGGCAAGCAAGTGAGGCTGACCAATACGTGTTATATTAATGAGTGGCAACGACGAAGGTCAACAAGCAAAAATTACTGAGATATACGCCTCGATCTACGGGTTAATTTTGGATAACTGCCAATATTTATTGGTTTTATACGAGGCCTCGGGTTATTTTTCTCCACTGGATCTTTCCAGGGTGACATCAGAGTTCCACCTCTTTCACGCTGTTTTAATTTCTCTGCTTTTTCAATTTTCTTTGCACTTGCTATATATCGCTCACACCCTGCTATCAAGCATTCGACTTTGTCTCGTAATGTTTCTCCTCGATACCGTTGAGAAGCTATCCGGAATATAGCGTCTACAAAACCTTGGAAGGGGAGACCGGTGGCTTGTTTCAGGTAAGCCTTTTTACTCTTTAGGTCCTTTTGCTGATCAGATGTTTGAATGTAATATGGTGTTCCATGGGCGTTCCGGTAGCTTTGCCATTGTCGTAATGAGTCTATGTATAAAATATCAATAGACGGAAGAGAACCTTGATCGCATAAATTGCACCTGCAAAAAGTAGAAAAATGTTTAAAAGAAACCTAGAATATATGATGAAATGGACACATTTCATAATAATAACATTTTCTATGATTATAGGGGTTTCGATGCAATGCTAGAGATTTTGGCGGTAATTTCATTGAGGTATATCTTTCGATTAACCGAAATGAGCGCATCGGTTTTTATACTTTCAATATCTCAAGTTTTTAAACACCAAAGTAATGATGCAATGAAAATCAAAGTACCCACTTTCTGGCCATATTTCTGAACGCTGTTGCACCCATAGCTAAGCTTGATTTGATGCCATTGAAGTAAATAAAAATTTTGGCACATCTACGCAATAGTAACATGTGGTATCCAGAAAATGTCGAAGATTTTGCGTTACGGTCAACAACCCCTCTTTTTCCGGGGATGCTGGGAATTATTTTCTCCTGGATATCCTGGCATTGATGTTTGCTTTTCTTATCGTCTGCTAATAGGTCTTTGTTTGAGTCTGTAGCCCAAGCTTTTTGTCCATAATTATCACGTTCTTTCGTATCATATCGTGGCAAAACAAGACTAGTGTGTGCTGGAGTAAGCTTAAACTCTCTATGTAGTAAAGGATTGTTTTTGTCTCGGTCTAAAATTGTGCCAAGTTGTGTGAAAGAATATGATTGCGCCACGACTTCAGGTAGGTTTTCTTTACAATGAAGCAGGTCTCTTTGTTCTATGATACCAGGACCGACCGCTTCGTTTAGATATCCTCCACAGTTGTAACATTGTTTATACGGTTCGTCTTCGTCAGATGAGACGAGATCTGTACCGCCAGTCTCGAATCTATTTTGTTTCGCGGGTTTATGTTTAAAATTATTTACAACTGGTTGCCTTTCGTATTTCAATAGCGTCGAACCACACGAATGATGATCAAAGAATCTCCAATCGGAAGAAAGCGGGTTATCTCCGGCCTGTTCAAAAGAATTGTCATAAAACGCTACATTGGGAAAGGATATAGAGGTGTTGTTTATAGCTAATTTAATGTAGATCATGCAGATGAAGCAAAATATGTTTGGGATACGGTACGGTAGACTTCAAGCTTTGCTACAAGCTTGTGGTAAGTCTCGTGCTTACAATAGGGATCCGAAGCGAAATATGCTTTGGGTGCGATAGGCAAGCAAAACTGCTGCTTTTAGGCTGCTTTTTTATGTTATGGTAGCACCAACCTAGGATCAACTATTCAAGTGAACTTTTAAAACAAATATTTTAAATTGAAGGCAATTGATAAAAAATCTTCTTCTGATAATAATGTTCGAGCAGTTTCGCAGAAAGGGTGATTGAACTCAGCAAACTGAGGTCATATCAACTGACCGAAAATTAATCACGACATAATGTATATACACATATGTTTATATTAGTTAATCGGTTGTATGCACAAATGCCTTCTCACCTGTCTATATTTTATAACAGATGGAACAGAATTCGACTTTTTTCTGGTAATTGTTGCATGACAATGCAGACAGTGTCGATTACAAAACCAATCTGAAATATAACCAAATTCAATTAGTGTAACAGTCTCGATTGAACGCTTTCAACAAAAAATATATTACGATTTCGTGCTCGAGAAGTGCCTTCGCGGGTTTTCAAGTCTGATATTTGATGAGATAAAAGGCTTGCGGAAGTCTGAAATGATACAAAAGAATACGCTTTATCAAAGTTCGAATATTAGAAGGATACCAGAATCGTAAGATACGTCATACCCGGGAACCTCCATGAGTGTTATGTTCTCTGCAACGCTTGTCACAAAGTCGAATACGTTCCTGAAACTCTTGAAAATTTTTTGGTGGTTCGTTCGGATTTTTAACCGGATAAATCCGCTTTAAACAGGATGTAGTCATGTCAATATTTTCTTCTCCAAGCGCTACTAATTCCAATGTATCCCTAATGAGAGTTACTTTGACCTGAGAAAATATATTTGTCACAGAAAGATTGAAACTTCCTCTTTATTCGATGAAGTGTTTCAAATAAATTGCATGGCACGTTCACAAATTGTATTCTGTATCGTTCAGTCTGACACGCTACTCAGCCATTCACGCCTCCGTCTCCGTAGTTACTGTGTATAAAATATTTAATACCGGTAACTTTAATATTAATCTTTTGTTGTTACCTGCTCATCAACAGCACTGATTACAGTTTCAAAAACACCACTGTCTGGCTCAACCTCGTGTACAGCATCAATTCGCAAACTAGGAGCCGCATTCACTTCCAACAAATAAGCTTTCAACTCGGATGTGAGCATGACATCAAATCCAAGTATTTGAAAGCATCTGGAAGTTGATAGATTGGATAATGATCAAAATATTATTTGTTTGTATCGACTAAAATGCAATTTTAATGCAATGCAACAATAACTCAAAACGTTGGATTTAGGGTCGGAGTCTTTTTTTCACATTTGACGAACTATAGCGTTGAGTACTAATCACTAAACTCCTAGTTGCGAGCCAAGTCTAGTTATGAGTCACCCGAGTTCAGAGAATCAGCAAATTTCAAAAATCGAGTCCCAATTCAAATTGAGTCATCGCACTACCGAGTCATACGTCAAGTCTAGTCGCAGCTGCTACATAACTGTGCAGCTCGAGTCACAAGTAATTATAAATATATACTAGGTTTCACAAGCAACAATGAAATGTGCAAATATGAGTCACATTGACACAAAACCTAAAAAAAACTCTCATCTTGCTTTAGCAACGTTACTTCGAAAATCAAAATAGGATTTGAATCATGTATTGAAAATATTTAACTCAACATCAACACTGCCTATTTCGAGTTATTATTAAAACAAGCTAGTAATTTTTTGATTTATTTTCAAATACAGCACTAATCAACGTGGTAAATCGTATTTTACAAAAATGGTTTACATTTAAAGTAAGGTGCAACGTTTTCTAATTTAATATCCCTGGTAGATTTAACAAAGATTTCGGAAACTCACGATCAGTATTTATATTATAAAGTGGTCACAGCAATGCTACGAATTACCTAGTATTTTTTGTTATATTGCTCGCGTGGCTCCATATTGCAAGATCTGGCAATATTGCCAAAATAGTCTTGACGGCAAGTTGTTTGATTTCTTTGCGCATTCGCTTGACGTCATAGCCCTTCTTCTCCAATAACTAAAATAGCAAATAGCAGTTCATGGTTAATAAGTATCGACAATTCAAAAAGAAGAAGTAAAGAACATATATATAGTCCTGTACCAACCTCTTCAACGCTCGTTAATGTCCGCTTCGAACCAGTTCCTGCCGCATCAGTTTGTACAAAATCTTCACTGTTTTTATTTAAACTGTAGTTTGTTAAATGCATGAAGGTATTCTTGACGTTTTGCTTAGTTGGTGCTTCGTATGGGGTCGTACATAGTCTTGCAAGGCCTTCCTAACAAAACAAACACCGCGATGGTCTGAAATTTGAATCTGGCGCTCAATTCAACGTGACATCATTTATATATTACGACTTTTTACGATTTCAAGTTCACGAAATTTACCACAGCTAAGATAGATACATCAAATGAATGTCCGTTTTGCTTATTTTTTCATACAAAATATATAAATGTCGCGAAAGTCACTGAGGGTACAAAAATGAATGAATAAAAATGCGTACCTTGCAAATATATATTTCGACCGGATCAATTCTTGAAATAACAACATATATTCGAAGGTCAAATTTATAACCTTCAAGCAACAAAGGCGAATCAATGTATTCCTGAAATGAAAACAATACAGTGTTATTAGCTGATGAATTTTTCCGGTGCACAGCAAGAATCATGAGTCGACATAAGCATTTACAACTTACAACAGTCAATTACACCTTTCAGACGGAAATAGATCGTTTACAATTCATAAGATATTATGATATGCTGACCTGCACAATAGAAGGCCTTGTCCCAACTTCAGCTTGAACATCTCGTGGATCTGTAACCAGATAAATTCCATCGCCTTGCCTTCCAGCGTCCGGTTTTACGATGAAAGTGCGAGGAGTCGTAGGTATCGAAGATTTTCTGACTTTATTATCTGGGATAGGTGTAATTAATATGAAACAATTTTGGAAATAGGAGATATGGTCCCAGTCGCTATTTAAATGGATCACTTTGTTGGGGGCTAATAGATTGCCTTCAGCGTCGAACGTCGCAAACCCTAATATTTATAGATTTTTTTTTGTCGACAGCCGACGCTGCAAGCAAGTCATTTGATTAACTACTTGTAAATGGCATTCAAAAGTAAAATCCTGTTCGTTTTTTTCGCATCTGTGAATCACACTAAAATGCCTATTATTTATCAACAACGTTTTTTATTATTATACCTGGGGTAAAACGACCGTTTTTATTTTTACTGCCGGCAGCAGTTCCGACTTCTCCAATGAACTGATGATATTGTTCCGGAATAACCCAGGAAGTTGGATAGAAGTCGAATTCTCCGGGATATAACGTTTGCATTCGTTTTAAAATACGTGATAATTGAACCTGAACATAAAAATCATATATATAAAAGTGCAACTCCAGTATAAGAGGTCGATAATCACCTTGCTCAGTACCTCAACCTTGTAACTAAAAAGTTATCCATGTTCACAGTTATGTAGCTTATCTACTTTTGTACTTCAGAACATATCGTCCGCTAAAATATTGTTATTTTTCGAAAAATAAATATGCAAATCATTGCAAAATAACACAATCCTGCCTACCTTGTGGGATATTTCCAGCATTCCGGGTAGCTTGTTGACTGCGTGAACTTCTGTTACACTGTCGTGGCACGTGTCTTCATACGTGACGCCATGCCAATAAAAGTCGTAAGCTCCATCTGAAACGAATCGCAATAAATAATTTATAAACAACTCAACTCAATCTACAAATTAAAAAATCAGGGGACAAAAATACCTTGTTTAGCTTTTTCCTGCCATTCCAATTGTCGCAAAGCCAGTCTGAGCGCATCATGTGATGTTTTTGCATATGAAGACTTGACGCGAAGAACAGGAACTGATGGACTTGGACTTATACTTGTACACGAGGAGGATGTGTAGGAGGATCCACTAACTGTTGACATCACGTCGTCGTCTACTTCCGCATCACTGCAACGCTCTGTGTAAAATAGGTTAAGGTTTCAATGTTTTTTGTTAGTATGCCACAAAGGCGCCACTAACGATGGCGAAAAAATTCTCGATTGACTATACCCGTTTAAAACTTGAAGATATATATATGAGCTCCCGATAGGGTACGTATATTAGCGTATTTAGTTGTACATGATTTTACAATTCGATTTGATTTAATAGAGTAAATAGACGATTGAACAAAAGAGGCGACGCTGACAAATGAATTAATTAATTCAATTTAATTACCTAACTTTGACCCACTGCAAAAGTATTATACCGAACATAACAAAACACTGTTTAATACACAGTAATCCTATACTCGTAACTGAAGATAATTTTGAAAATACAGGACGCAATTATACACAAATGGTATAGAGTTTGGCAAATCCACATTCAGAACATTCATGTCAATTGAAGGGCTCTTAACTTAACGCACATTCCAGCACTGGAATACTATATGCAACAGGTTGATGATCAAGTGAATGCCAGTGATCATATATGTCTATAAACAAAGTCAAATTGTTTGTTTGAACAAGGATAAACTAACAGCAAAAAATCATTTTTTAGGAATGTTCAACAAGCCCATGTGAGCTTGTCGAACAAGAAGCGTTCTGAACGTAGAATATATATTAATTTTTTTTTTGTTTGATATGATTCATCTAAAATCGGTATTCATGAGATTCAATTTTATGTAATTTGTTATTGTTTTAAAATGATATATTTTCACTATATGAAAAGACAATCACGTCAACCGATTCATATACATTATCCAACTAGTCGCAAATTCATTTAATTTTCGTGAAAGCTCGTCTTCACGACCTATATTCATTAAAAAATGCGAGGATGAATATCAAAATTCTACAAGGTAGCATTTGTTATCTCTCGAATATCGGGATAATCAAATTTTGGTAATTTCAAATGTATTCTTGAATTCAATAACTTGCATCGCACTAAGATCTTGTTACCTTCAACGCGTGTTATGTTCAATACTCCATAAGGTCCATTCAAACTTGGAACGCTGAATGTACTTTGCTTTGCAATAACAGCTGGTTTTCCATCATCTGTATGGACCATCGTAATATTCGAGGATATACATCTATTGAACATTGTACTAGGTCGCCTTACGGGCAATAGTTGCGAAGTTCGCGGAGTTGAGGCAGCTTTCACTCCCGCCATTTCGCTGAAAGCTACTCGTCAATCTTGTTAAATATCCTTTTATAACCTTGTACCATTTGGTGCCAGCTTGGCCATTTTACACTGTTGTACAAGAAATCTGTGAATAATTATAATATATATACGATGCATCATTATTTTCTCTCACTCTTCAGTAAGTTTAGTAAATTTTATGGAACAAAGAAAAAACTATCTACATTTATGAACGCAAAAAATAGTCTCCAGTACCGAAAAAAGTTATATTCTAAAAATTAATATGATAGTTCAAAAAAGTGTCGTCCTTATTCAATAACTCGCGCCAGGCTTGTAGTAAAATTTTATAGGAATAAGACAGCCACTCGATTGAAAACCTTTTTCCGGACTTATCCATCCAACACCTACGTAAAAGTCATTATTGAAAGTCGAAAAAGAAATCAGATTACCAACTGGTTTATATATAAATCAGAAACTTCATTATCGACTTGTTCACATCAAGTTAAGAGCTCTCAACTACGTGCACTCATATATGCAACGGGTTTGGATCCAGTGAAGATCAGTGATCAAATACTCATCTAGACAAGGTCAAATTGTTGTACGATTAGTACACTGACAATTTACTTTTTTTTACTTGATGTATCTATTTTGGTTATCGGCATGTGTCGAATTGGCAAGTTTTAGTTCAACAATGCCGCTTTGAGGTACCTCTCCGCCGAAGAATCAATACCAAACGCGTAAACGAAAGAACACAAAAGACATCATTGCTGGTATATTTTGTGGTGCAAAACTTGCCGAACACTAATAATTTGAACAAATACTTTGTACTTTAAATATGTTTACACTCAATCGTAATATTTTGAACGCCATGTTGGTTTTGATGATTACTGGCAGCTGTAAGCCGATTCTACCTTCCTCTCCAAACAACTTTCAAATACACGTTTTTTACTTACGTATACTCCGTAATTGAAAATATTGTATTCAGTTCGCTAACATCATTGTTAACTTGATATAAACTAAATCTTTGTTGTATAGTTACTATTTTATTTTGCTAAACGTCGCGAACTATATCGGCAAATTCAGTTGACTATAAGCTGGAAACAACTTTTAGTAAAACGAAATTTGCCAGTGGTGTATACTTTACCCTGATCTTCGGGTTTATCCATAATGGCATGTTGCTTTAGTTCAGCTCGTTGTCAAAGACAAAAATTCTGCAGCTTTGTAAAGGGCCATGTCTGGCTTGTATTCAGTTTCAGGTTTAGATAAACTGTCTTGTCAGTTAAAGTACACTCCACCTGAAATTTCAATTAAAACCGCATTCGCCGATCTCAATCCACTTGACGTTATTAGCTCATAAGCTCTGGGGAACAAACGATAAACTTTTCCCAATTGACGTTAATTCTAAAACGATTCTAATTGAAATCGAAATGTTTATTTACCTTAAAATGAATTGTGACGAAACACGAATGTTTAAATTGAATATGACAATATCAAGGGTAAATATTCCTATATTTATATCCATAAATAAAACTCCCAAAGATTAGCCGCTCCAAGTTCAAACATACATCGACAACATTAGGAGAGTTATCAGGCTCGATTATAAACTTCCCGAAGTCTTACAAGATGGTTTTAAAATCGCAAAGCAAGTGCCGAACGAACCAAGGCAAACGTTAAGTAAATATGCTAAAAGGAGACTGTAAAAGAAAAATGCAAATAAATATTTCCTTTCACCACAAAACTCTTTTCGTATAAACAAAAAATATAAAATTTTCAACTGAACTACGAGTTAAACTTGCGTGATTTATCAATAATTCACAGCACAACAATGTTATTGGCAGTCAATATTGAAGTATTCTGCGTATATTGTTAATTGTTATGCATTTGAAGACACAGTCACATATGACCCGCTGATTTATATCTGCATTACTTGTATTGCAGGTGATGAAGAGATGTAAATTTCAGAAGTAAATTTTGCCTGACGAGTGATCCAGCTCAATCTGCTGACTAGCCCTTGATTAGGAAAACCGAGGCCATTAACAAACATGCAAAAACGGGCACTTGTAATTTATTTCATAAAGAACAACCTCATTTACGAATTTAACTGGCGAAGTTATACTAATACCTTGATACACAAACAACAATCATAACGTTGTAAATCCGCGAAAGACTCACACAAAAGAAGTCATTTAAAAGTCATCTCGTTTATATTCTGCTAGGTAACCGTGTACAAAACATGTAACTAATATCCGAATCCTTCGCGTTGGTTTTCGAATGCGCCTGGCCAGATTTACAAGGTGAAAAAACAGAGGTAAACACTTTTTATTTTTCCTCCGTCTCGTGTATGGCCAACTCATTCGAATATCAAAACAACTTCCATTGTATTCGGTAGTTTACTCCGCCCTCTTTATTTAATACGGAGTACAATGTATCGAACAGACGATATATGTTGTCAAACAACACTCGTACAATAGGCGGGGGTATGTCTGATGTTTCGCAGAATGGAGGCATTGCAAGGGACAAAGTTGACTACCGGTAGGCATCGAAAGGGTGTGGAAATCACAGTATTCATAAAGTTTTGCTCTGATAAACATAGCTACATAGCCTATCCTAAATGTCCAATTTGAGATGGACAGGGCGCTTGTAAATATAGTTGGGGAGTATGAGTTCCATTCGGCAGCTCCAGGTTCAAATGAGACGACCTTGGGCTGTTGGAAAATGTTGGCTAGCTTTTCGTTTTTGGACACGTCAGTGTACATAACGATCGTTTCAATATTATGTTGTTGTTCTTGTTACTATTCTTCTCTTTGGTCATGATGAAATCGCTTTTCTTTTCAAATACTGGACCAATTGCTTCGAAATTTTCAGTAGTTGAAGATTGATTTTTTTGCCAGAAGGCTATTACTTTTACTTATTTCGAAAATATCTGTGGACTTCAAAAGATTCGTTTTTTATGTGTCAGAATAAGAAAAATAGCGACACCTTGTGACGTTTCCATATATTCGAGCACAGCTCTTTTGTTTTTATTGTTCTAGTTCGGTTGTATATTTTGGCCAAGACAAGCAAATCATACTATAGTTAGTCTAGACCAGTGATTCCCAAAGTGGGCGATATCGCCCCCCCGGTGGGCGATAACGCTACAGAGGGGGGCGAAAAAGTCGAAGGGGGCGATAGGGGGGCGATTTTTAGAAACCTGTTTGTTCGGCGCATCGTGCACTTGATTACTGTACTCTGCGTGCTTTCGTATGTTTGAATCCCGTAGGCAATTATCACACGCGAACGGATTGCTGGACTCGTCTTCGCAGTAAGATACGGTCGTTTCCGTATCCCAGTGCTTGGCATAATACGGCGGCCGAAGTAAAATAATCAGGCCCGGGACGCTCCACTGGATGGACCGTTCCCCGACCTTTGACCCCAGAAAAATTTTCCAATACTTTACCATTTTAAAATTTTCGGTGCGTATTTTAAGAGTGGTTTTGCGAGTTATTGCCTGTAAAACGGGGTATTTGTTTCAAACTATCATTCTAATAAATACCATTCAACAATCTGTTTTTTAAAAGTACCAGTAAAGAATTTTAGCCTAGTCTATCAAAGATATTTCTACACCAAATTTTTGCCTACTTTAAATAAACCGAAACTTCTGGGGAGACAAAGTGATCATTGACTTCCGATAAATTTCCGAAAAACAACTAAAAACTAACGAATATAATTCAAAACCGCCAAAATGAGGTAATTTTCACGACCACGCCTGAAAATCTGTCTGAGTGAGAAATGTGTCTGAGCGGATGCAAAAGGGGGCATTGTTACGTTTATATTGCATCTTGCTGAATGGCCAATGTCACGAAGTAAACAAGGAGGTCTATGCCCGGGGAAACATCCAAACGGCGGTTTCGGCGATGAAATAATTTTATTTATAATCTACGCTCGAGGAGTAAATTACATTTTTTTACGTAACAGAATTTATCGTGAGGCACGTTTAGACAAAATTTTATTATATCCTTAAAATTATATTGAACAGCTTCTCGTTTAACGAGCCTACAATTCAATTATAATTAGACAATAGGAAACACGCAGAAAAGTTGATGCTGAGTGCAGGGGTTCAATAGCGCAGTAAATATTAGAATATATTGCAATGCAATAAGGAAATAAAATTTATATTCTATTCGAGGGATCCATCACTGCTTCATTTTTGTAAGAGTGTATCTTCCTAAAGAAAATCTTCATCGAAATTTGACAAACCATGCGATAACATTCATTTCGTTGTTCGGAAGTACATATCTGTGCGAACAATTATTTTCGAAAATGAACATTACAAAGAACAAGCTAGAACTAGGATTAGTGATGCCCATTTAGAAAATCTTCCAATCTTGGCGTCGTAAAGCTATCAAGCGGGATGCAGCAACAAGACAGACTCACATTAAATGTCATTGTAATAATTTTATAATAAGACGACTGAGTTGAGTTCACGAATTGCCGCGGTTTTCGCCCGCTGTTCCGTTTTTAACTTTCAAAAAATATATGCGATCCGCAAAAGATTAGCAACCCTAAATGTAAAATGGGGTGAATTTAGAGAGTTAAATGCTACAAGGCAAAAGTACACGGCGGTTTTTGAGGAGGTAGAACCCTGGATTCTTTCATTTCCGACCGCTAATATGATCAGCTGTGCTACTATTGCTATCAAAACAACGAAATCGCCTTTCCATCAGTAATCAGGGTGATTTTAGATCTTATAAAAAACCTCGCTGAAGAACAACAAGCTCATCCATCTCATTAAAAATACTATAAACTATGATTTGTCTCGTTATTCGGTCTGTAATATATTCGTTTCAGATTTTACATTTTTTTCGAAGTGCCGGGGGGCGATGAACTTGTATAAACTACTGTAGGGGGGCGATGGTACAAAAAGTTTGGGAACCACTGGTCTAGTAGACCACAGCTCCGAAAATTTTGCAAATACAAATGCGAACCGCAATACAACTCCTTTTCGGATAGAAACGAGACTTTACCGGTACGTTTTCTCGATCACTCGACTCGGCGGCGTGCTTTCACACCTGTCTTACGCCTAGAGTTTCAATTTGGTGCCGACAAAGTTTCGTTAACGTCTCCACAGCATAACGTTCCGTTTATAAAATGTAACTTTTTACGTCACACTTACATGCCCCGCCTATCTGGTGGGCAAAAACCTTGCCCAACCCTGCATGGACCCTATATAACGTACGTTCCATTAACGATCAAACTTATTATTTGGGTATGGGTCATTTAACCATAAATTCCAAACCATTGGTTCAAAGATCTATAGCCGGTTTGGACCCTCCGCTAATCGGAGTAGCGACAGATATCCAAATAACCACGCTCCAGTTCTGCTGTTTAGAAGCGAAAAATTTGTACGGGTCTCCGTAATGGATATAAGAATACTCGTGGCGTTCGGCATTGCACATGAACTTTTATTTGCTTGCATTTAAAAACATTGCTGCATAAAATAACACTAAATGAATAATCGCCTTAAAAACTGATGAAAAGGTAAAAAATTATTTTACTCTCATTAGGAGTTCAAAGAGATAGTGTCATGTGTACTTTTGTTGATCATATCGATACAGAGCTAGATAAAAGTTCCTTGATGTAATTTGATTAAATAAATGATAAAATCAGTAAAATATGATGGAATAAGATAGTTAATACAGTACAAATTAGCCTTTTACATGTCGGTCATCGGAAAACTTTCAACAGCCAAACTCTCCATTCCACATTCATCATTGCCTCGTCTGATTCTGAAATAGCCCTTTTCACCCCACTCTGGACCCCAGCTATTTTTAACGGTCCAGTATTTCTCGCCTGATTTGGGGTCAGCCCCATAACCCACTACAAGAACTGCATGGTTTGTGAGCTCAAAAGGATCAAACCCTAGGTTATTTGAATTGCTTGAAACTTGGAAAACGTGATGGTAGATACCAGTTTTATAATGCATGAAATCAGGATAAACCTAAAAAAAATCACATTTCAAAATCAACAACATGCCTAAACAACTTTAAAAAATGCCAATGTCAGGGGGTACCAAACCATCATGCATTAAAATTAAAATGCATGTCATCATCCTTGCTTACCTTCTATTTTGGATTTGTATGTAGCCGTTGCTACAAAGGTGAAACCGCAAGATAGTATGGAAATGATAAATTGGAACAATATAGGTAATCTCTTTGCGCAATATAAGAAGTTAGAATATGATCTAACCAGAGTTTACAGAAATATACAGGGTAACCCCCGTTACCTCGAATCCCACTGCAACTGGCCCGTTCTTGACAAGAGCAAGTTTCATCAAATCTTCAGTGCATCCTCCATAATAACCACCAACATACCAATAATCATCAACATAGTGACGGCGACAGTTTGGTTTTGTCGGCTGGCAAGACGAATCTTTTCCCTAAAGAAAGTAGTCAAAATTATTGAGTTGCACATTTATCTTTATACAATATCTGAATAAGATTTATCAAAAAATACACAAATTTTTTAGATGTTCAATTAAAATCAACATCACAAGCGATGAGTCATATTTTCAGACTTTTCAAATACAGAACTCGTAGGTACTCGTACTAGTCCAATTGCCTTTTAAGCGGGATATTACCATACAAAATAATCCAAACAATTTAAAACAAAAATCCGGTCCAATTTGATCACAAAATACTGTTTCTTGTAAAATTTCATACTTGATAAGGATAGCATTCTTCATCAATCACTCCATAGTCTTGTGCATATTTACCAGCAATTAAATATGGAAATCCGCCAGCACATCCTGTAACACATTGAAAATTTGAACATCAACTTACATACACAGGCCAGAGTTGAAGCTTGGCAATGGGATGTGCAAATCAGAATACCAAATACGAAGGATCCGATAACGAGATCCGATTTCCATCTGTTCGGCGCCAAGTGTTAATTATTGTATTTCGGATTTCTAATTTATTAATCAAGGCAGGCGTTTTTTCTCGCGTTGTAATCTCTCTCGCTTGATTATACTTGCTCTCTCAAAAAAAAACGTAAAAGCGACAGACATCAAACACGGTAATCTCATCCGAATATTCAAAATGAGAAGACAGCGGTAACACCTTGAAGCAAAAACTGGTTGCACAATATTTGCGTTTACCTTTTTTTATTTTCTCATGGTCAGGATAAGTAGAATAATTACAATCATTTTTGGGTCAAAATTAGGTTCTCCCAGAGTTATAATCGGAGCTGAAGTTGCAATTTTCTTCAACGTGGAGTCAGGAATCGAAACTAGATTCTGGTGTAAATTTTCCAATACTCAATCTATGTGAAATACTCGGTTTTGCCTCTCCCATCCAACAACATACCTTGGGAATAATTTGAACATGACACAACTTCCTGAGTTGAAAAGACAGGAGTTTGTGAATTGTTTGATCTAATTCTAATTCTTGCTTCCAACATTCCCATCGATGCAAAGGTATAACAGCTTCCACATTGCCCCTATATAAAGAATGTTATAGAGAATTCAAGACCATATGACTATTCATAGTATAAGAGCAACCTGCCACTGGTCAATTTCCAGCATAATGTTGTTGAACACAGAAAGCTAGCACATTACGCTAATTGCTAAGCCACCAGTTTTCAACCAGTGGGCCGTGGCCCACCTCTGGGCCATAGGAACATTTTGAGGTGGGCCACAGTCCCGTAAAAAATTGCCAGTTTCATTTGTGTCACTATAGTTCATTTTGATTGTAGCAGAATGAATGACGATGCTGTTTTCTGCTACTGAGTGGTAATTTTCATTCTGATTATTACTAATGTGAAAGTGTCAATTTTAGCGGGAAGATTTGGTTTTTCTTGTATTTTTTCCTTTGTATAGAAAAGTTAATGGCCACAGAATTCTTGTTGAACAAAAATGGGCTACGAAAAAAAAAAGGTTGAGAACCAGTTGGCTAAACAATAGGAAAACGCTGGCAAACGGCCAATGCACTTTCGATTACCATGCGCTGGTTAGAATTCCATGGGGAATAAGTATGTGCAAGAAGATTGCTGATCCACGTAACCAGTGGTCGCCTTGATACCAGTCCAAGTTAGGTTCCACCTACCTGCTGTTCGTTTCGTATCCACAAGTTAGGTTCCACCTACCTGCTGTTCGTTTTGTATCCACAACATAGTTATTGTCCACAAAACAGCGCGATCTGCCAAGCATCATAATGTCAGTCTTATTCATTACCTGGTTTCTGATTGGTGAAACATAATCGACTCCGCCTACATTTCTCCAGTCATATGAATCGGGTAAGTCCTTGATTTTACTCTTCGTTTCTGCATCCAGTTCTTTTTTTGGTAGTTTAGGTCTGGAATAAAACAATCAAATAGCCTATAATAATTGAAGATTTGCATATCTTTTTAACTACCTCTGAGTTGGTGTCAAAATTTTGGATCCTTTGAAGTCCAAAAAATATGACAAAATTTCTGTTAGAAACTTGAATAGCATTCAGTCAACGCAGCATTCTAAACGGATAAATAAAAAAGACTTGCATACGCTAAAGTTTTTGCAAACAAAATTTAGTTTTTTTCAAGACAAAAAAATTTGGAGACAAAACCTCCTTCCAACTGGAGTTGTCAATCGAGTAAAAAAATGTTCAACCAGTGTCTTGGAGTAGCAGTCCCTATTTAATGGCTCAAAGATTTTTTTTTACTGTAAATTTGCCCAAACTCTACAAGGTATACCAGGACAATAAAATCATGTTCACATTAAAATATTAGGATACAACGAGAACACCAAAAACAGTTTGAGAAAGCTTGTTTTACCAGATTTTAATCTAATGAATTATACTTACAGACTTATTTTTCCTTGGCTGTGCCCAGCCATCCTCAACAGATCTCGATGTGTAAGTTTTTCAAATTGTTCATATCTCCCAGCCTCCCATGATGATTGGACTTTATTTAATTCATAAATGAATTGATTATCATTTTTAAACATTTCATCCAATCCATATAAATCACTGTAAAATATTAAAAAAAAATGAGCAAATATAGTACTTTTCACGGCCATAAAATAAAATTAAGAATATGGAACAATTATTTTACAGTTATTTTCCCAGAAATCAAAATGAGAAAAAAGGTTGTATTCCATCAGCGAGTTTTGGAATTGTGGCGTTGCCATAAGCAAAATAAATGCTGCCAAGTTTTTACGCAGTGAACTATTGAGCAAAACTTACCAAAACAAATACCACACAAAAAAAAAAAATTTCTGAAATAGAAACTCGCAAAAACCTGCAACCCAATTTCGGGTCGCAACCCGTAGGTTGGGAAACACTGAGCCAAGTAACCTGTAATAATTATAAAAACTTTCATTTGTCTTTCTATGTCAATGAAAACGTAACCACACATGAATACATGGTCTAGAATTCCTTACTGAATTCAAGAACGGACACGCCCCCAACCCCTCCCCCTGCTGTTCTATAATAATATCTAGAATTGAGGGTTTAAAATATGGAACACAAAAAAATTCTGAATCAATTCGAATAGTCTGTCAATATGGACATTCCCAATTATTAATCTAAATAATCAATATCATATATACCGGTAACTAACATTGATTGTGAGTGTGGCAAATGAATATCCTCAAAATAATAGAATTACTGTAGTACAAAGCAGAAATTGACTATTATTGAAAAATAAAGCTCTTAAAAATATCAGCAATCATGGCAAAATTACATCTTATGTATCATGAAAGTGTACAAAGCTCACATACCTAGATGATGTCATATTATGATACTCTATATTTGGGTCAAGCTGGATTAATATCTTTCATGGGATACATATTAAAATCTTGATAAATAGGTCAATAATACTATTTTATTGTATTAAAAAATGCTGATATGGATAAAGTAAGTTTCTAATTGTATATAAATGTGTGTCAATAGGATCAAATGGCACTGCTAGGTCCTATTTAGGACAACAAAAGACATCATGTGACTGTAGAGAATAATAAAAAATTATTTGGTATCATGTGACCTAATTTTGTCAAATCATAAAAAATTGAAAGTTTGAAAATAACCACATGATTTGCTATCTCAGCTAATAAAATTAGCAAACTGTTTTAAAAAAATTTAATCATCTTTTAAAGGATAATTTTCTGACTAATTATTTTCAATATGAAATATTTAATATATTCCACATTTGGTATATGCAAGTATGCAAAGTATATTTCACTAGAATAATTAGAATAACATGAACTATGATGCAGTCAGTTTTTGTATTTGCCCCAGTTTTTTCAAAATCCAATGTTTTGCTAAATATAATTTTTTTTTAGTCTAACTAATACAATTCATTGCTGAAATCAAAAATACCTCTAATACAAATAAAATTTGAAAACTCAGTTTGTTTTTGGAAAGTTTATAAATTATTAAAAATTTCTTACTTAAATTTCTCATTTATATTGAGACCATTCACACAGTCGTTTAATAAACACAAAATGAACGCAAATGAGCAATTGTGCATGCCCATAACCAGGCCTATACTTACGCATCAGGATTCTTTGCAATTGTCGGTGGATAATCCCAAATCATTTTATATTTAAATTTGTGTGTTTGCTTGACAGCAACAATGCAATTCCATTCTCTTCCGAGAGCATCATGCGCCCATCCATACATAGTACGATTGCACCAATATTTAGAATAAGTTGCATTTACTTTTTGCCATTCAAAGAATGCAAAAAATTTTCTGAAGCCAACTTCAAATTCAAAGCCCTTTTAAAAATATAAAATAGATGGAACAAAAGAATATATCATTATGAAAACAAGACCCACTTAAGGGGGTTTTGAAGGGTTAGTACGTTTAATCAAGACTTAGGTAATTAAAAATATTTACTACTAATATTTTTAAATGTTAGGGTAAGAAATGAGTATATTCCAGTTCACCCTGTTCTATTTTAGATATTTAATATAACGCTTGTCACATCTGACATCCCTTGTATACTACCAATAATATAGAAAGAGGTTTTATTCTGAAAATTATTTAATATACATAAATTGAAAATGCAGAATTCTGGAGAGCAAGCGGAACCTTCAAGAAAGGTTTAATTAAAACATTAGAAACCCAATGCACCTGCTCACCAACATACACACAAATAATTAAACAAAAATACAAACCTATGTAAACGAGGCTTGTGCTAGAAATAACACACAAAAATCATGTGAATAAAAACCTCTGGGCCGTTGTATTTTTAAAGCAACTAAGTCATAGATCACATAATCAAGGTCTAAGCTCTCTATAACCAGTGGTGGGATTCAGCCGGTTTGCACCGGTTCTATAGAACCGTCTCATGGAATTTTATGAGATCAGCAAACCGGTTAGCATTACTGGGTACTGTCAATGTTCTGTTTGTAACAGGACCGGCTGAAAGATATGACTTTTGTGAAGGAATCGGCTGACAAAAGAAAAATGGATCCCACCACTGCCTACTGGCCTATAACTCTCGTTAGGCAAAAAGTCATGCATTTTACCTGGTTATAAATAAGAGTAAAATTTCCTTCTTCTCCATCGGAATCTTTGATCAACTTATTCAGTGGTGAAAATGTAACTAAGACTTCTTTAACAAAAGCACCTAAAAATAATCAAATAATGCACTGAATCAACTGATACAGTTATATCTTTTATGTGTTTGATTGTTACAAATATTCAAATGAGATTAAAATCATTTGAATCACCCCACTCAAACACGGAAAAGTCCTTTCCCAATGTGTGAAGTCTTCAAATAAGTCATGGCAGCATGTAAGAATGCTCTTAACTCTGTAATCGCAGAACTGTATAATCATTCAGTCATATAAAAACTTACCTGGTTTTTCTGAGCATTTGACTGTTTCTCTTGTACCAGCAGGTCCAATATATATATTCCATTGTCCTAGTAAATCTTCATATGTGCAGTTTGCAGGAGTGTCAGCATACACAGATAAAATTGTTGATAAAAACGATAAAATCATAAAGGTTTTTGAAACCATTTTGCTGGTTTATCACACAAACTGGTATCTACAATTCTAAATCACAGCGAAAGAGTATAATTAGGCTACAAATCTGATAACATCGAAACAGGAACAAGTTCCTGAACTCGTTAATCGCAATTTCAGAATTTAGACAATCGTGCGAGTGTTGCAGTGTTGGGTCACAGCACCGGAATCATGGTATGACGAACTACGAAGTAAACGATATCACTTCTGTATTTATATTATACTATCCTAGTCGGCAAATTGTGAACAAGAAAAGATATTCCATTCAACTGAGTTTGCGTACATTTCGCTTGTACAGTTGTAAGCATACAATAATCTGCAAAACAAAAAACATCTCAGCGACGTTCGAAACAGCACCGATCTTCGAACCAGACTCATAAACGGAAGAATTAACAGTGCGATAAGTCCCCGTTTACGATTCATCCGTAACTGTAATTCGAAAAAATAAAAAAAATTCGCTTTGTACCGCATATTTACGAATAAATATCATAACTATCAACAAACGCAAATATGGAAAGTGGCAAGATGTAAAAATTGGCAAACAGAATCAGGCGCTCAATGTTTGGGAATCACATGATCGAAACTCGTGACTATTTGTCATGAACATTCCTATTAAACCAGCATTTGTTTGTCTCGGGCAAAGGGTACTTGAACCTAATTCAAACATCTATAGTATTGCTATCATTGCATCCGCGGTAGAAAGCGCCTTTTTGTCAGTACCCTTCCACAAATAAGATAGTAGTAATTTCACACGAACAGTCAATTGCCTTTCCATCCACGTATATTCGTGTATGGTGGCCCATCGTTGTCACGCGTAAAATTGAAAATAAAAATAAAAAATAAAATAAAAAACCGATAATAAATTTTTTTTTGTAAAAAAACATAAAAATGATTAAAAAAAAAATAAAAATAAAAATTGAAATTAAAAAAAAATAAATAAATAAAAACGAAAAAAAAAAAAAAAAAAAAAATTAAAAAAAAAAATTGAATAAAAAGAAAATAAAAAGGTTGACAACGATGGTCCGCCTCGTGGCCCATCGTTGTCACGCGTTTTTATTTTCAGAAAATTTGCTTCTGCTTGGGACCAACGTTGTCAGGCATAATCCTACGCGCACAAATGTGTTCCCTGGGTTTCAAACTCACTACTGATTTTCTTGAGCAATATTCAATATGAAAATGTTCTATAAATTCTTCATGCTACAAGTTCAACAAGAAGTAATATATTTATAATAATGATAAGAGAATATAGAATTGAATACGAAAATTCGGAAAATTTGTTTTTACGTGTATAAGGTAATTTAATTGGAGAATGCTGCTTAACTACTCAGTTGACTGGACACTCGCGATGCCGGTACCGTACCGTCTTACCAAATACCGGTAGTCGGTTATAGTCGCTTTGCGTCTGACCGTACCGGTAGCCATACAATCACTCATCATCTCCCATTCTTTCACGAGTGATTGCATGGGTACCGGTACGGTCAGACGATACCGTACCGGCATCGCACGAGTGTCTGAGCAGTTAAGCAGCATTTTCCAATTAAATTACCTTCTACACGTAAAAACAAATTTTCGTATCCAATTCTATATTCTCTTATCCTTATTATAAATATATTGCTTGTGGTTGAACTTGTAGCATGGAGAATTTGTAGAACATTTTCATGTTGAATTTATTGGATATTGCTCATGAAAATCAGTAGTGAGTTAGAAACCCAGGAAACACATTTGTGCGTGTAGGATTAAGTCTGACAACGTTGGTCTTAAGCAGCATCAAATTTTCCAAAAATAAAAACGCGTGACAACGATGGGCCACGAGGCGGACCATCGTTGTCAACCTTTTTATTTTCTTTTTATCCAATTTTTTTTTCAAATTTTTTTTTTTTTTTCAATTTTTTTTTTTTAATTTTAATTTTTTTTTTAATTTTTTTTTGTTTTATTTTTCAATTTTTTTTTTAATTTAAATTTTTTTTTATTTCTTTTTTTTCAATTATTTTTATGTTTTTTCACAACTATTTTTTAATTTTCGCTTTTTCATTTTATTTTTTCATTTTTTTTTTTAATTTTACACGTGACAACGATGGGCCACCATATTCGTGCAACGACCTGCACTTGAATATTTTTCTAGCCGCAGACATTTGCACCACGAACATTTGCACCCACAGACCACAGCTTAGTCAGTCTAAAAGCGTTTATTAATTTATGTTTGATTTACATTACGCAAATAAAAACCTTTATTTTCCTTTGTTCATCCTTCCCCCATTAGCGTGAGCACGCATACAATTTCAACACAAGTTAATTATTGAAATAATGTAATTCACATGATTATCAAAATGACTAACGGCTCTGTCTTCTTACGTAGTTCGCTATATGATTAAACTGTCTTATCGGATTTCCTCTCCGCTGGGATTTGGGTTGCCAACCGTCCTTAATTTCAAAGGACAATCCTTTAATTAGGCTTTTCGGTCCTTATCTTTTTATAGCATTTAGAAAATATGCTAATTGTCCTTTCCAACGTCGTTTTGCCCGGTAGTTATAGTACTGTGTTTGATCAGAGACAATGCATAACATGTTATGTGAAATCTATGGTTTGATATTATTCCTTTCTTAAAAAATCGCCTTCGTTTATGTATTTGCAAGATTTTAATTCTTCTTTTAAATTTCGTTTTGGTCCGACTCAAAAAGACAAAGAAATAACGATTTTATTAACATTGTTTGGGCCAAAGTTAAATAAATATTAAATGAAAACAAATGAAGATTGTTTTAATATATCTTTTTAGCTTGTATATATATAATTTTTATTACATTGTTTTCTATTGTTCTTTCCTGCAAGTTACAAAATAAATGATGGAAGAAATCTATGTCCTTAAAACTTTTCATAGTTGGCAACCCTACCTGGGATAAATATGTAAACTTATCTTATGCCAATGAAGAAGATGTGTCAAATGGGCACAGATTTATGGTAATAAATCAGATTTATTGAAGCACGATAAATTTACCATATATTATATTACATATATTATTCTATCCTATAAAGCGAATCAATCGAAAAAAATATAAAGTAATAGTCAAAACAGTAGAATAAACTATTATTGTTGAATCTTGAATGTAAAATTAATTTTTTTAATATTCAAAATGTACAATTCGAAGCACAATTTGTTGATTTAAGACGTGATCCAGCCAAAATATTTCTTCTTCATTTGCGTGCTAAACTTGCTACTCCTTTACAGGCCCTCTTATTAGTGCCTTGTTCGGCTTTTGACTTTCTCTTGCGTGCTTCCGGCATTTCTTTTTTCCACCAAGATTCAAAAACTTTCTTAGCCTCTCGAAACTTTCCTGGATCTTTACAGAATATTTGCAGACGAAATTCTTCGAATACAGGTGGCAACATGCTGGAAATATCGACTTTCAAAATTGAATCAGCAACCTTCGGTTTTTTTTTAGAGTAAAAATTATACTGCTCAACGGGATCTTCCCGTTTCATTCCGTAGTTTAGCTTCACTATTTTTACAATCAAATCTTCTCTCAAATTTTGTTGGAAACCAATCTTTTCTTTTATACGTTCTTCCGTGTACTCCCGTCCGCGTTGGTGATCTCCCATCTTCTCGTTTGCCACTGTCTGATAAATTTCTCGTCTCATTATTCTTTCAAGTATTTCTCTTGACTTCTTCAGTTCCTTCTTTGTCGAATTCAAAATTGTATGAAAAATTCCATCATCAAGTTTCATGAAGACACTCAACTTTTTTGCACATTCTGACAATTTCATACCATCGATAGCGTGTTCATTAGCATGAACCAAAGCCTCGGTGAACATTTCCTCAACGGCATTAACAACGGGGTGTTGGTAAGCCCTACGATGAAGGCAATACCGCGTGTGAAACATTTGGTATAGATTAAAGCATTCTTTCTTGTGAACGCACAATTGCCGTTTTCCTTTTACCTTACATACTCTCATTAATTCCATGAAACGATTGTGATCGAAGCCATTCTGCATTCCAAGCTGATAGCAATCTCTTGCAATGTAATCCCACTTGTCCACGTCAACTTTATTTCGCTCATTAGAAATTATCTCATACAGAAACTCTTTTTTAGACGGTCGGCCTATTTTTTTTCTCTTTGGTTTTCCTGTGATCATTTCTTTTATGAAAGTCCAATCATTTTTATCAAATTTGAGAACTGCTTGATCGAATCGATTACTTTTATCTTTGAGTAAATATTCCAACATTCCATACGAGATCTCTTCATGTTCAATTTTCTCCACACCCACTGCACTATAGAATTTATTATCAAACAAGTGGGAAAAGGGGCCGTGGCCAAGATCATGACAAAGACCAGCGATTTCCACACAAAGAATATCTTTATCTTCAATTCCAAGCTCTGGTTGATTTTCCTTCAAATGGCGGACAAGTTTTCCTGCCAAGTGCGCTGTTCCAATGCTGTGCTCAAATCGGTTATGGCAAGAACCTGGATAGACAAAGTAAGCTCCTCCAAGTTGTTTGATATTTCGGAGCCTTTGAAACTGGGGTGTGTTAATTATTTTAACCAGAAATGGGTGAAGAGAAATGGTGCCATGAACAGGATCATTGAAAACTGTGTATTTTACTTTATCCTCGATGACTTTTATTTTGTCAAGTCCCATATTTACTTTACCATGTGCTATATTCTATAGCTGAAAAAATATAATGGGTTAAAGGGAATTTGCCTTTTTAATTTAATGATGATTAATGAAGCTATCAATGGATGCCGTGGACCTTCTACACCTACTGTACTTCTTTTCACACGTACATTGTGACTGATTTGCAATAAAACAATGTAGAACATACAATGATTGCTTTCACTTTGACTACTCGCGGATGATTTGCGAGTTCAATATAATATAGGCTATATATGATGAAAACTTTTGTTTTAATGAAAACGAGAGATTTGGGTTTTACTTTGAAGGACCTGAAGTTGCAAATTAGGCTCAACTTATAATTTATCTTGTCCTGAATTGAATATAGGACGCCTTTGGCTCAATGCGTTAAATCTCTTCAGCGTACTTGTCAATTGTAAGCCAATTTTCGAAATACAAACTCTCTTCCGTCGACGAAGCTTTTGGCACTTCAGTCCTTTTCAGATGCTTTGCTCAGAGAACACTTTCAATATTGAGCGAGCGAGTTCCTTTGAAAAGTGAAAAATAGTAGACAAAGTACCATAATGTAGGCCTACTTCCTCACAGTGGGAGTACAATAAGATATTCAACTCACAATACCCGGTATATATATCACATCTTATGAGAATTAATTTTTAACCAAAATATTTCAATTCATCACGAGAACAAAGACATCTATCTCTTCGCAACAAACAGCTGCTGGATTATATGTATATCTCAGTTAATGATTCATATATATTCACAGTAAATAAAACCTTTGTTTTTTGCTCATACTCGACTCACACGCTCTTTGTTATAGCAACACAATGACGCCGCGTTAATTTGTTTTTCATTACTCATAGGTCATAAGCTCAATATGCATAACTAAGAGAGAAGTTGCAAAACAATTCTTACACTGCAAAACACTTGACATTAACTTCCTCATAATTCAGCAGCATTTCATGAAAATACAAGGAAAGAAATAGCTGCATGAAAAAAATTCATTACTGAATATAGTATATATCATGGGTGGCCAACACGTCAATCGCCACGTCTCAAGTAGCCGATCGCGTCTGGTGTTGAGTAAAAAAAAAACAGTTTTATACATCGCCTGTTGTGTTTTTTAAAGCAGGAAGAATATAGTACTGGGCATGCGCCAAATACGATATACACATGCAGTAATTGGGTATGGACAAGATCGATGAGCATATTATTATGTGACCAATGCAAGTTTCAATATTGCCAAGTAAAGGAAATGAACGTACTGAATGCCATCTGTCTTGACTGGCAAACGATCTTACAACAATTTCTGCACTATGTGGAAGTTATTGTCTCACTCCAAGAGTAGTGTGAACAATTTTATTCGCAACGGTAGCAATGACATCGGAATGCCCAATATTTTCTCTAATTCCAAGCAAGAAAAGAATCGGACTTGAAGAAAATTGTAAATTAGATACTGCAGTTTGAAATGTAACAATTATGGTTTAAGAATATTAATTATTCGCTGTTTAGATAACATGGATACTTTTTTAAGGTTTTCTGAGGAATTGAAAACACTTACGACTAAAAATTAGACATGCCCTAGATCTGAATTGTATGATTTGAATAAATTTCAAATAAATGATGACATAAAATAATATAACAATCAAAGTGAAAATCCAAGCTTAGTGATCATATTGACGAAGGCATATATGTCTGTCACTTTGATACGCATTACCGTTGCACGTAGCACCGGGATAGCGGTAATCTGTTAATGTTTTATTTACATCTCGCTATTAAAAACCTTTATCTTTATTTGTTCATCCTCCACCCATTAGCGCGAGAACTCGTAGACGTACAATGTCTACACTATAGCTGTTTATTGAATTCATGTAATTCAAATGATTATCAGAAATAACTAACGGCTTTGTCTTCTTCCGTGGTTCGTCATATTTTAAGCTGACTTATCAACTTTCCTCCCCCCGGGATAAATATGTAAATTTTATATTATGCCAATGGAGAAGATGTGTAATATATATAAGCACAGCATTATGGTAATAAATCAGATTTATGGAATCACGATAACGTTATATCCAAAATATTTCTTCTTCATTTGCGTGCTAAACTTGCTACTCCTTTACAGGCCCTCTAATTAGTGCCTTGTTCGGCTTTTAACTTTCTCTTGCGTGCTTTCGGCATTTCTTTTTTCCACCAAGATTCAAAAACTTTCTTAGCGTCTTGAAACTTTCCTGGATCTTTACAGAATATTTGCAGACGAAATTCTTCGAATACAGGTGGCAACATGCTGGAAATATCGACCTTCGAAATTGAATCAGCAACATTCGGTTTTTTTTTTAGAGTAAAAATTATACTGATCAACGGGATTTTTCCGTTTCATTCCGTAGTTTAGCTTCACTACTTTTACAATCAAATCTTCCCTCAAATTTTGTTGGAAACAATCTTTTCTTTTATACGTTCTTCCATGTAGGTGATATAGTTTTATTTTTGGCATTAGAATCGGATTCGAACTTTCACACTCTCCGAATTTGATGCCGGAGACGAAATTCCAAGCCAGAATCAGAATTTCATACTTCTAAAAGTGAGTCACGAAAAAGGCATGCAAACACCAGTTTTGATGTATATTGTTCACTGCAGTAATTCAAATGTGCACATTTCCATACGGACCAAGCATTGCTATTTGTCAGCAATGAACTATTACTTTACTCAATATATTTCAATAAAGCCTTTGCTCTCTGCCTACGTTTTCTTATATGATGACTATGTGAAGAAAAAACAGGATATAAAACCTCTTGATCTTCGCCCACCCTATTTATTGACTGATAAAATATATAAGGTGAAACGCGATTCAAAACGTGGCTGCGATGGCTTAAATTGGACGCTCTTTTATTTTGAGTAGCATACTGAAAAAATATTGGCTTGAACTGTCACACCCAGTAAGATAAGCTATCACCAGTCGGTAAAAAATATTGGGCCATGTTATATATATCGGTTTCTTCAGTCTAAAGCCCTTTAATAAATTATCTGTTTAATAATCGGAACGTCGATAATTTTAACCGAAATGAAGCGAACTTCGTAAACTCAACATAAAATTGTGGGTAGTTCTATTGTATTAAGAATAAATTCTTCTACGTAAGAACAGAGTACCGATACAGGAATGTGAAAATCCAACCTCAGTGATCATATTAACGAAAGCATATATATATGCAGTGGTGGGATTCGAATTTTTTGTCAGCCGGTTCTCTCACAAAATGCATATTTTTCAGCCGGTTCTGTTACAAACAGAACATTGACAATAACCAGTAATGCTAACCGGTTCGCTGATCTCATGAAATTTCGTGAGACGGTTCTATAGAACCGGTGCGAACCGGCTGAATCCCACCACTGCATATATGTCTGTCACTTTGATAAGCATTACCGTTGCACGTAGCACCGGAATAATGGTCATATGTTAATGCTTTAATTACATCTCGCTATTAAAAACCTTTATCTTGATTTGTTCATCCTCCACCCATTAGCGCGAGAACTCGTACAATGTCTTGGGGAGAGGCAGGTAAGTTGATACATAATTTAGTTTTACTGATCCATAAAAAATACCGTTTGAGTAATCGCCGTTCTGGTTTGTCCTATTTATTCATTTATAGGTCCCTCACATATGACCACAAAATGGGGCTCTCAGTCATTTCCTAACTTAGCGCTTACAGTCGCTAAAGTTTTCTTGTCAAACGTATCAAATATTCTGCCTGGTAAGGTTACTTGATGCGCAGTGGTAGTTTTGTTGATACACTCTGCATAAAGTTTTTCAAAATCAGGCAATTACTCCAAAAATGAAATGGAACGAGGCACAAATATCACATATAACTTGTTTCAAAAGAACGAGAGAGAAAGTTTCACCAGGAACGGCGGCAAAAAAATAAAAAAAGAACAAATAACTCATTCAACGAAATGGTTTTCTGGATGGTGGTAGACAACCTCTAATTTACATTCCATTTACTCAAATTGCAATCAAATTTAAGTCGAACACATCTCCGAGCTGATCCTGCAAGAATTGTTGGCTGAGGTAGTCTGCATATTATGTCCTCATGCGAGAATGAAGCCCCATCATCTTCATTTGGAACAAATACAAAACCAGTGTGCTCTGCTTCGACAGAAACTCGACTAGAAACTTTCTTCAGAAAAACTCCCTCATACTCATTATCTTCTAGCAAATCTATACTAGCGATGTAATGTACATTTCTAGATCTCCCGTCTACTTTGACAACCACGCAATCACCTTCCATGATTTCTTCTGCAGATAATTCATCTTCATCAGTCGTGTCATCATATCGAACAACAGCACACTCCTCTTCTGAACTATTGCTAGTATTGTGGGGGCGAACTTTCCTATTTTTTGTAGCGAAAAGTTTTTTTCTCGAACTGCATATCTCGTTGTTCTTTCTTTTTTCATTCTCTAAGGAAATCTCTTTTAATACAGGCGTGGATGTTAAAATCTTTGTCTTTCCTTTTTTTCGGGAGCGCTTGGTCTTTCTTTGTGGAGCTTTTGGGATTTTTTGAATCTCGCTTGGCGAGGACTGTCCTGGTTCATTACGATCAACGCCAACGACTTCTCGGTCCGTCGAAGTTGCAGCTGCAAAATCTGCATCAGTACAGCAGTAAAAATATCGCGATTGGAAGGGTATATATACCAGTGCTTTGAAATCCAGATAGAATATTCCTCGATGTCATTGCTGACATTTGAGCCTCTTTTACAAGGCCAGGAACATCATATATTGTAACAGTTTTCCCAGCATGACTACGTAGCCAACTCTTCATCGCTCTGTTATAACTGGCTTTGAAAGGACCATACGCCGTTTTATCAAGCGGTTGCAATCGATGAGATGTGTGAGGTGGTAAAGTAGGCATAACTACTCCATTGTATCTTGCCATCTCAACCGCACGTAAAGAAATATGAGACTCGTGGTTATCTAAAATCAAAAGAATTTTTCTTTCGGGAGTACAACGAGTCTGGCGCACCAGATGTTCTAGATAAACGAGAAAAAGTTCTTCATTAATCCAGCCAGACTTCGTTGCTTGTCCAATGCAGCCCGGTGGCCCTTCAATGATAAAGTGGTTGTGGAAGTTTACGCGCGGAAATATAAACATAGGTGGAAGCACATTCCCAGAGGCGCAGATGGTGTAGACTACCGTAACCAGTTCACCACGCTCAGCAGACGTAGCTGCACCCAACTTGTTTTTTACCCTTGGCTGTAACAATATCAGATGGGGTTTGAACAGTGGTGCACCCGGATTCATCGAGATTGTAAATATCTTCAGGGTGAAAATCGTCCACATCCATGACCTGTGCTAAGTTGTCGAAAAATTCACCAACCGTGTGACGATTAAATGCAGTCGCCCTTCCGAGTGAAGTTGCCTCTGGAGTCCGTGTGGAAAGATTTTGTCGTTTTTTGAACCCTAGCCACCAAGCTTTTCTCGCTTTTTTGTTGATCTTCGAAGACACTGGCATATACAGCTGGTTTTGAAATGCAAATTCATAAGCTAGTTTACAACACTGTTCAGAAGAGAGTACAAAAAACATGTCGGCCAATCGTTTGACATGATTTCCCAGATCTTCTTCCATTTGCTGAGGAATAATATAATGTGCATGGGCAACAGCAGCGTAACCTGTAATTGCGTTAGGATTATTTTGCGCTTGGCTATAAAACGAGACAAAATCATTTTATCGATGCCAAATGCTTCAGCTACACTCCTCAATGATCGCCCGCAAACAACATCGTCAGCCGCCCTCGACATCACATCCGGGGGAGTGCTTATGGCTCTGTTTGTTTTTCTTCTATAGAACTGAGGCATCACCTAAAATACGTTGAAAACAATATTGGCACCGTAAAAACATTGACAATGCCGCAAACCATAAAACCCGGTTAAAAGAAAGTCTGAAAATATATTTGCTGAAAAATATGCCTAAATAAATACGTGGAATAAATAGCAGGGTTAGTCGATACACGTATCAACTAATGGAACCACGATTGTATCAACTAGTCAACCTGTGGCCATTTTGAAAAAAGGGCCCGTAGTGGGAAGAAATCAAATCAGTATCCAGAAACATGTAGGCTGTTATGTAAGCGATATCATACACTACTGCAAGGAAATACTCGCTTGCATCGCTCAGTTACAATGCCTGAAAAAATAATCAATTTACCTTGATTTGACGTTTTCACTCCAGATCTCAAAAATTGATTTTTTTCGAAAATTTTAAACGTGCTGCAACCAACATCGTCAGACGACTAACAGAAAGGAAGATCATCTTTTAGCCAAACACCAGGTGGCGCATCAGTTTCTTAAAGTGCATTGCACGGCCGTGAGAAGCGCTGTATCATCTAAACTACAGCATCAACTAACCTGCCTCTCCCCTACACTATAGCTATTTATTGAATTAATGTAATTCAAATGATTATCAGAAATGACCAACGGCTTTGTCTTGTTCCGTGGTTCGCCATATGTTTAAGCTGACTTATTGGTTTTCCTCTCCCACGGGATAACTATGTAAATCTTATCTTATGCCAATGGAGAAGATTGGTAATATAAGCACAGCATTATGGTAATAAATCAGATTTATTGAATCACGATAACGTATATATAGACATATATATTATAATATTATTTGTACAACATATTATTATAATTCAACTGCATATATTATTCTATTCTATAAAGCGAATCAATCTACTAAAATATAAATAATAGTCAAAGCAGTAGAATAAACTATATTTGTTGAATGTAGAATTAAATTTTTTAACATTCAAAATGTACAATACAAAGCATAACTTGTGGTTTTAATATGTGATCCAGTCTAAATATGTCTCTTTCATTTGTGTGCTGAAATTGTTTCTTCTTCACAGGCTCTCTTACTAGTACCTGGTTTGTCATCTGACTTTCTCTTGAGTGCTTTCTGCATTTCTTTTTTCCACCAAGATTCAAATGCTTCCTTAGCGTCCTTAAACTTTTTTGGATTTTTACAGAATATTTGCAACCGAAATTCTTCGAATACAGGTGGTAGCATGCTGGAAATTTCGTCTTTTGGAATTGGTGAAGCAACATCCGGGCTGTTTTTAGGATAAAAATTGTATAAATCAATGGGATTTCTCCCTTCTTTCATTCCGTAGTTTAGCTTCACTATTTTTACAATCAAATGTTCCTTAAGATTTTGTTGGGAATCAATCTCTTTTTTTATCAATTCTTCCGTGTACTTTTGTTGGTGATCCTTCATCTTCTCGTTTGCCACTGTCCGATAAATTTCTCTTCTCATTATCTTTTCAAGTATTTCTCTTGACTTCTCCAGTTTCGTCTTTGTCGAATTCAAAATTGTATTAAAAATACCATCATCAAGCTTCATGAAGACACCTAAATCGTTTGCACATTCTGACAATTTAATACCATCGATAGCGTGTTCATTAGCATGAACCAAAGCCTCGGTGAACATTTCCTCAACGGCATTAACAACGGGGTGTTGGTAAGCCCTACGATGAAGGCAATACCTCGTGTGAAACATTTGGTATAGATTAAAGCATTCTTTCTTGTGAACGCACAATTGCCGTTTTCCTTTTACCTCACATACTCTCATTAATTCCATGAAACGATTGTGATCGAAGCCATATTGCATTCCAAGCTGATAGCAATCTCTTGCAATGTAATCCCACTTGTCCACGTCAACTTTATTTCGCTCATTAGAAATTATCTCATACAGAAACTCTTTTCTAGGCGGTCGTCCTGGATTATTATCATCTGTTTCCCCGGTGATCATTTCTTTTATGAAAGTCCTATCATTTTTACATAATCGGAGATTTGCTTGATTGAATTGATTTCTTTCATCCGCGAGTAAATATTCCAACATTTCATACGAGATCTTTTCATGCGGAATTTTCTTTGCATCCACTGCCTTGTAGAATTTATTATCAAACAAGTGGGGGAATGGGCCGTGGCCAAGATCATGACAGAGGCCCGCGATTTCCACACAAAGAATATCTTTTTCATTAATTTTAAGCTTGGGGTGATTTTCCTTCAACTGGCGGACAAGTTTCCCTGCCAAGTGCGCTGTTCCAATGCTGTGCTCAAATTGGTTATGGCAAGAACCTGGATAGACAAAGTAAGCTCCTCCAAGTTGTTTGATATTTCGGAGCCTTTGAAACTGTGGTGTGTTAATTATTTTAACCAGAAATGGGTGAAGAGAAATGGTGCCATGAACAGGATCATTGAAAACTGTGTATTTTACTTTATCTTCGATGACTTTTATTTTGTCAAGTTCCATATTTACTTTACCATGTGCTATATTCTATAGCTGAAAAAATATAATGGGTTAAAGGGAATTAGCCTTTTTAATTTAATGATGATTAATGAAGCTATCAATGGATGCCGTGGACCTTGTACACCTACTGTACTCCTTTTCATACATACATTGTGACTGATTTGCAATAAAACAATGTAGAACATACAATGATTGCTTTCACTTTGACTACTCGCGGATGATTTGCGATTCAATATAATATAGGCTATATATGATGAAAACTTTTGTTTTAATGAAAACGAGAGGTTTGGGTTTTCCTTTGAAGGACCTGAAGTTGCAATCTAGGCTCAACTTATAATTTATCTTGTCCTGAATTGAATATAGGACGCCTTTGGCTCAATGCGTTAAATCTCTTCAGCGTACTTGTCAATTGTAAGCCAATTTTCGAAATACAAAATCTCTTCCGTCGACGAAGCTTTTGGCACTTCAGTCCTTTTCAGATGCTTTGATCAGAGAACACTTTCACTATTGAGCGAGCGAGTTCCTTTGAAAAGTGAAAAATAGTATACAAAGTACCATAATGTAGGTCTACTTCCTCACAGTGGGAGTACAATAAGATATTCAAGTCACAATACCCGGTATATATATCGCATCTTATGAGAATTAATTTTTAACCAAAATATTCCAATCTCAGTTAATGATTCATATATAATGCATAAAACATTTCTTATTTGCTCAAATTCGACTCACGCTCTTTGTCATAGCAATGCAATGATGCTACGTTAAACCTTCTTTGATAACGTTTATTTGTCTATCATTACTCATAGGTCATAAGCTCAAAATGCAATACTGAGAGAGTAGTTGCAAAACAATTCTTACACTGCAAAACACCTGACATTAACTTCCTCATAATTCAACAGCATTTCATGAAAATACAAGGAAGGAAATAGCTGCATGAAAGGAAGTCATTACTGAATATAGTATATATCATGGGTGGCCAACACGTCGATCGCGATCGGCCGGTCGATCGCCACGTCTCGAGTAGTCGATCGCGTCTGGTGTTGAGTAAATTTAATAACATACCCCAAAAAATTGCCTTGAACCAGTTTTATACATCGCCTGTTGTGTTTTTTAAAGCAGGAAGAATATAGTACTGGGCATGCGCCAAATACGATATACACATGCAGTAATTGGGTATGGACAAGACCGATAGAGCATATTATTATGTGACCAATGCAAGTTTCAATATTGCCAAGTATAGGAAATGATCGTACTGAATTCCATCTGTCTTGACTGGCAAACGATCTTACAACAATTTCTGCACTGTGTGGAAGTTATTGTCTCACTCCAAGAGTAGTGTGAACAATTTTATTCGCAACGGTAGCAATGGCATCGGAATGCCCAATATTTTCTATAATTCCAAGCAAGAAAAGAATCGGACTTGAAGAAAATTGTAAATTAGATACTGCAGTTTGAAATGTAACAATTATGGTTTGAGAATATTAATTATTCGCTGTTTAGATAACGTGGATACTTTTTAAGGTTTTTTGAGGAATTGAAAACACTTACGACCAAAAATTAGACAGGCTCTAGATCTGAATTGTATGATTTGAATAAATTTAAAATAAATGATGAAATAAAATAAATTAACAATCAAAGTGAAAATCCAAGCTTAGTGATCATATTAACGAAGGCCTATTATATATCTGTCACTTTGATACGCATTACCGTTGCACGTAGCACCGGGACAGCGGTAATATGTTAATGTTTTATTTACATCTCGCTATTAAAAACCTTTATCTTTATTTGTTCATCCTCCACCCATTAGCGCGAGAACTCGTACAATGTCTACACTATAGCTATTTATTGAATTAATGTAATTCAAACGATTATCAGAAATGACTAACGGCTTTGTCTTTTTCTGTGGTTCGCCACATGTTTAAGCTGACTTATCGGCTTTCCTCTCCCCCGGGATAAATATGTAAATCTTATGTTATGCCAATGGAGAAGATGTGTAATATAAGCAGAGCATTATGGTAATAAATCAGATTTATTGAATCTCGATAACGTATATATAGACATATATATTACAATATTATTTGTACAACATAATATTATGATTTAACTGCATACATTATTCTATTCTATAAAGCAAATCAATCTATTGAAATATAAAGTAATAGTCAATAACGTAGAATAAACTGATTCTGTTAAATCTTCAATGAAAAATTAAATTTTCAAGATGTACAATTTAAGCATAACTTGTTGATTTAGGATGTGATACAGCCAAAATATTTCTTCTTCATTTGCGTGCTAAACTTGCTACTCCTTTACAGGCTCTCTAATTAGTGCCTTGTTCGGCTTTTAACTTTCTCTTACGTGCTTTCAGCATTTCTTTTTTCCACCAAGATTCAAAAACCTTCTTAGCGTCTTGAAACTTTCCCGGATCTTTACAGAATATTTGCAGACGAAATTCTTCGAATACAGGTGGCAACATGCTGGAAATATCGTCCTTCGAAATTGAATCAGCAACATTCGGTTATTTTTTAGAGTAAAATTTATACTGATCAACGGGATTTTTCCGTTTCATTCCGTTGTTTAGCTTCATTACTTTTACAATCAAATCTTCCCTCAAATTTTGTTGGAAACAATCTTTTCTTTTATACGTTCTTCCGTGTAGGTAATATAGTTTTATTTTTGGCATTAGATTCGGATTCGAACTTTCACACTCTCCGAATTTGATGCCGGAGACGAAATTCCAAGCCAAAATCAGAATTTCATACTTCTAAAAGTGAGTCACGAAAAAGGCATGCAAACACCAGTTTTGATGTATATTGTTCACTGCAATAATTCAAATGTGCACATTTCCATACCGACCAAGCATTGCTATTTGTCAGCAATGAACTATTACTTTACTCAATATATTTCAATAAAGCCTTTGCTCTCTGCCTACGTTTTGTTATATGATGACTATGTGAAGAAAAAGCAGGATATAAAACCTCTTGATCTTCGCCCACCCTATTTATTGACTGATAAATATATATATGGCGAAACGCGATTCGAAACGTGGCTGCGAAGGCTTAAATTGGACGCTCTTTTATTTTGAGTAGCATACTGAAAAAATATTGGCTTGAACTGTCACACCCAGTAAGATAAGCTATCACCAGTCGGTAAAAAATATTGGGCCATGTTATATATATCGGTTTCTTCAGTCTAAAGCCCTTTAATAAATTATCTGTTCAATAATCAGAACGTCGATAATTTTAACCGAAATGAAGCGAACTTTGTAAACTCAACATAAAATTGTGGGTAGTTCTATTGTATTAAGAATAAATTCTTATACGTAAGAACAGAGAACCGATACAGGAATGTGAAAATCCAACCTCAGTGATCATATTAACGAAAGCATATATATATGCAGTGGTGGGATTCAATTTTTTTTGTCAGCCGGTTCTCTCACAAAATGTATATTTTTCAGCCGGTTCTGTTACAAACAGAACATTGACAATAACCAGTAATGCTAACCGGTTCGCTGATCTCATGAAATTCCGTGAGACGGTTCTATAGAACCGGTGCGAACCGGCTGAATCTCATCACTGCATATATGTCTGTCACTTTGATAAGCATTACCGTTGCACGTAGCACCGGAATAAAGGTCATATGTTAATGCTTTATTTACATCTCGCTATTAAAAACCTTTATCTTGATTTGTTCATCCTCCACCCATTAGCGCGAGAACTCGTACAATGTCTACACTATAGCTATTTATTGAATTAATGTAATTCAAATGATTATCAGAAATGACCAACGGCTTTGTCTTGTTCCGTGGTTCGCCATATGTTTAAGCTGACTTATTGGTTTTCCTCTCCCACGGGATAACTATGTAAATCTTATCTTTTGCCAATGGAGAAATTGGTAATATAAGCACAGCATTATGGCAATAAATCAGATTTATTGAATCACGATAACGTATATATAGACATATGTATTATAATATTATTTGTACAACATATTATTATAATTCAACTGCATATATTATTCTATTCTATAAAGCGAATCAATCTACTAAAATATAAATAATAGTCAAAGCAGTAGTATAAACTATATTTGTTGAATGTAGAATTAAGTTTTTTAACATTCAAAATGTACAATTCAAAGCATAACTTGTGGTTTTAATATGTGATCCAGTCTAAATATGTCTCTTTCATTTGTGTGCTGAAATTGTTTCTTCTTCACAGGTTCTCTTACTAGTACCTGGTTTGTCATCTGACTTTCTTTTGAGTGCTTCCTGCATTTCTTTTTCCCACCAAGATTTAAATGCGTCCTTAGCGTCCTTAAACTTTTTTGGATTTTTACAGAATATTTGCAACCGAAATTCTTCGAATACAGGTGGTAGCATGCTAGAAATTTCGTCTTTTGGAATTGGTGAAGCAACATCCCGGCTGTTTTTAAGATAAAAATTATAGTTTTTCTCTTCTTTCATTCCGTAGTTCAGCTCTACTATTTTTACAATCAAATGTTCCTCAAGATTTTGTTGGGAACCAATCTCTTTCTTTATAATTTCTTCCGTGTACTTTTGTTGGTGATCCTTCATCTTCTCGTTTGCCACTGTCTGATAAATTTTTCTTCTCATTATTCTTTCAAGTATTTCTCTTGACTTCTCCTGTGTCGAATTCAAAATTGTATGAAAAATACCATCATCAAGCTTCATGAAGACACCTAAATCGTCTGCACATTCTGACAAATTTTTACCATCGATAGCAGCGTGTTCATTAGCATGAACCAAAGCCTCGGTGAACATTTCCTCAACGGCATTAACAACGGGGTGTTGATAAGCCCTACGATGGAGGCAATACCTCGTGTGAAACATTTGGTATAGATTGAAGCATTCTTTCTTGTGAACACACAATTGCCACTTTCCGTCTACCTCTATTACTCTCATAAATGTCATGAAACGATTGTGATCGAAGCCATTCTGCATTCCAAGTTGATAGCAATCTCTAGCAAAATAATCCCACTTGTCCACATCAACTTTATTTCGCTCATTGGAAATTATCTCATAAAGAAACTCTTTTCCAGACGGTCGTCCTGGATTATTTACATCTTTTTCCCCGGTGATCATTTCTTTTATGAAAGTCCAATCATTTTCACCAAATTGGAGATCTACTTGATCGAATCGATTTCTTTCATCCACGATTAAATATTCCAACATTTCATACGAGATCTTTTCATGCGGAATTTTCTTTGCTCCCACTGCCTTGTAGAATTTATTATCAAACAAGTGGGAAAATGGGCCGTGGCCAAGATCATGACAAAGACCAGCGATTTCCACACAAAGAATATCTTTTTCATCAAGTCCAAGCTCTGGTTGATTTTCCTTCAACTGGCGGACAAGTTTTCCTGCCAAATGCGCTGTTCCAATGCTGTGCTCAAATCGGTTATGACAAGCACCTGGGTAGACAAAGTAAGCTCCTCCAAGTTGTTTGATATTTCGGAGCCTTTGAAACTGTGGTGTGTTAATTATTTTAACCAGAAATGGGTGAAGAGAAATGGTGCCATGAACAGGATCATTGAAAACTGTGTATTTTACTTTATCCTCGATGACTTTTATTTTGTCAAGTTCCATATTTACATTATCATGTGCCATCTTCTACAGCTGGAAAAATATAAGGGGTCAAAGGGTATTAGCTTTTCTAATTTATTGATGAAAATTTTGGGAAATGTCATTTACGATGCTATCAAAGGACGCCGTGAATCTTGTATTGTACTCCTTCTCATACAATGATTACTTTCACTTTGACTACTCGTGGATGATTTTTGTGTCCAATGTAATATAGAATAAAAATTTTGTTTCAATGAAAACGAGAGATTCGGGTTTCACTTTCAAGGACCTAAAGTTACAAACTAGGCTCAACTAATAAGTCATCTTGAATTGAATATAGGATTGGTTCAGCGTGTCGATATCAGTTGAATCTTTTCAGCGTACTCGTTGATTGTAAACCAATTTTCGACATCTAAACTCTTTTCCCGTGTACGAAGCTTGTGGCACTTCAGTGGCTGTCCGTTGCTTCGCTCAGAGATCACTTTCACTAGAAAAGTTTCTTTAACAAAGTAAAAATAGCAGACAAAGTACTATAATGTACTTCCTCACAGTGCGAGTAAAATAAGATAATCAACTCACAATACCCGGTATATATATCACATCTTATGAGAATTAATTTTTAACCAAAATATTTCAATCCATCACGAGAACAAAGACATCTATCTCTTCGCGACAAACAGCTGCTGGATTATATGTATATCTCAGTTAATGATTCATATATATTCACAGTAAATAAAACCTTTGTTTTTTGCTCATACTCGACTCACACGCTCTTTGTTATAGCAACACAATGACGCCGCGTTAATTTGTTTTTCATTACTCATAGGTCATAAGCTCAAAATGCATAACTAAGAGAGTAGTTGCAAAACAATTCTTATACTGCAAAACACCTGACATTAACTTCCTCATAATTCAGCAGCATTTCATGAAAATACAAGGAAAGAAATAGCTGCATACAAGGAAGTCATTACTGAATATAGTATATATCATGGGTGGCCAACACGTCGATCGTGATCGGCCGGTTGATAGCCACGACGCGAGTAGTCGATCGCGTCTGGTGTTGAGTAAATTTAATAACATACCCCAAAAAATTGCCTTGAACCAGTTTTATACAGCGCCTGTTGTGTTTTTTAAAGCAGAAAGAATATAGTACTGTGCATGCGCCAAATACGATATACACATGCAGTAATTGGGTATGGACAAGTCCGATAGAGCATATTATTATGTGACCAATGCAAGTTTCACTACTGCCAAGTTTAAGAAATGAACGTACTGAATGCCATCTGTCTTTACTGGCAAACGATCTTACAACAATTTCTGCACTGTGTGGAAGTTATCGTCTCACTCCAAGAGTAGTGTGAACAATTTTATTCGCAACGGTAGCAGTGGCATCGGAATGCCCAATATTTTCTCTAATTCCAAGCAAGCAAAGAATCGGACTTGAAGAAAATTGTAAATTAGATACTGAAGTTTGAAATGTAACAATTATGATTTGAGAATATTAATTATTCGCTGTATAGATAATATGGATACTTTTAGGGTTTTTTGAGGAATTGAAAACACTTACGACTAACAATTAGACAGGCCCTAGATCTGAATTGTATGATATGAATAAATTTAAGATAAATGATGAAATAAAATAAATTAACAATCAAAGTGAAAATCCAAGCTTAGTGATCATATTAACGAAGGCATATTATATATCTGTCACTTTGATACGCATTACCGTTGCACGTAGCACCGGGATAGCGGTGATATGTCATTGCTTTAATTACATCTCTCTATTAAAAACCTTTATTTGTTCATCCTCCACCCATTAGCGCGAGAACTCGTACAATGTCTACACTATAGCTATTTATTGAATTAATGTAATTAGGCTTCCCGCTGCTTGTCAGCAGGGAACCTATTGTATTCCTGTGTTTTATTATTAGGCTTCCCGCTGCTTGTCAGCAGGGAACCTATTGTATTCCTGTGTTTTATTATTAATATTATTTATTTATTATTATTTATTTATTATTATTTATTTATTATTATTATTATTTATTTTTATTATTTTTTTTCAAATTGGTCCTACAAACTTGAAATTCAACTCAAATGTGCAAAAGTTCTCAGCTAGCAATAAAATGCAAATTTTATGCATGACTGACCACGCTTTCACGCTCCAGTGAGCAAAACGCGTCTTCAGTTTTTTGCGATTTCTCAAAATTGATACATGCTATTGGGTTGAAATTCATAACAATGATTAATGGACATGTTCCGGATACGATATGTCAAGGATACGCATGAGTGACTTCGGCGATACGCTCCAGTGAGCAATATAGGATTTTACATTTTCATCTTCTTCTCGAGAACGACACTACTTAGAGACTTGAAATTTACATCCCATGCAGATAATAAGTCCCCCATCATAAATTGCAAATTTTATGCATGACTGACCACGCTTTCACGCTCCAGTGAGCAAAACGCGTTTTCAGTTTTTTCGCGATTTCTCAAAATTGATACATGCTATTGGGTTGAAATTCATAACAATGATTAATGAACATGTTCCGGATACGACATATGAAGGATACGCATGAGTGACCTCGGCGATACGCTTCAGTGAGCCATATAGGATTTTACATTTTCATCTTCTTCTCAAGAACGACACTACTTAGAGACTTGAAATTTACATCACATGCAGATAATAAGTCCCCCCCGGATACGACATATCAAGGATACGCATGAGTGACCTCGGCGATACGCTTCAGTGAGCCATATAGGATTTTACATTTTCATCTTCTTCTCAAGAACGACACTACTTAGAGACTTGAAATTTACATCACATGCAGATAATAAGTCCCCCATCATAAACTGCAAATTTTATGCATGACTGACCACGCTTTCACGCTCCAGTGAGCAAAACGCGTCTTCAGCTTTTTTTACGCGGGAAGCCTGTTAAAGCTGCACGCAGCTCTAGTTATTATTATTATTTTTTTTTTTTCAAATTGGTCCTACAAACTTGAAATTCACCTCAAATGTGCAGAAGTTCTCAGCTAGCAATAAAATGCAAATTTTATGCATGACTGACCACGCTTTCACGCTCCAGTGAGCAAAACGCGTTTTCAGTTTTTTTGCGATTCCTCAAAATTGATACATGCTATTGGGTTGAAATTCATAACAATGATTGATGGACATGTTCCGGATACGATATGTCAAGGATACGCATGAGTGACCTCGGCGTTACGCTCCAGTGAGCAATATAGGATTTTACATTTTCATCTTCTTCTCGAGAACGACACTACTTAGAGACTCGAAATTTACATCACATGCAGATAATAAGTCCCCCATCATAAATTGCAAATTTTATGCATGACTGACCACGTTTTCACGCTCCAGTGAGCAAAACGCGTCTTCAGTTTTTTTTGCGATTTCTCAAAATTGATACATGCTATTGGGTCGAAATTCATAACAATGATTATTGGATATGTTCCGGATACGCTATGTCAAAGATACGCATGAGTGACCTCGGCGATACGCTCCAGTGAGCAATATAGGATTTTACATTTTCATCTTCTTCTCGAGAACGACACTACTTAGAGACTTGAAATTTACATCACATGCGGATAATAAGTCCCCCATCATAAATTGCAAATTTTATGCATGACTGACCACGCTTTCACGCTCCAGTGAGCAAAACGCGTCTTCAGTTTTTTTTACGCGGGAAGCCTGTTAAAGCTGCACGCAGCTCTAGTTATTATTATTATTTATTTATTATTATTTATTTATTATTATTTATTTATTATTATTTATTTTTATTATTTTTTTTTCAAATTGGTCCTACAGACTTGAAATTCACCTCAAATGTGCAGAAGTTCTCAGCTAGCAATAAAATGCAAATTTTATGCATGACTGACCACGCTTTCACGCTCCAGTGTGCAAAACGCGTCTTCGGTTTTTTTGCGATTTCTCAAAATTGATACATGCTATTGGGTTGAAATTCATAACAATGATTAATGGACATGTTCCGGATACGATATGTCAAGGATACGCATGAGTGACCTCGGCGATACGCTCCAGTGAGCAATATAGGATTTTACATTTTCATCTTCTTCTCGAGAACGACACCACTCAGAGACTTGAAATTTACATCACATGCAGATAATAAGTCCCCCGTCATAAATTGCAAATTTTATGCATGACTGACCACGCTTTCACGCTCCAGTGAGCAAAACGCGTCTTCAGTTTTTTTGCGATATCTCAAAATTGATACATGCTATTGGGTTCAAATTCATAACAATGATTAATGGACAGGTTCCGGATACGATATGTCAAGGATACGAATGAGTGACCTCGGTGATACGCTCCAGTGAGCAATATAGGATTTCACATTTTCATCTTCTTCTCGAGAACGACACTACTTAGAGACTTGAAATTTACATCACAAGCAGATAATAAGTCCCCCGTCATAAATTGCAAATTTTATGCATGACTGACCACGCTTTCACGCTCCAGTGAGCAAAACGCGTCTTCAGTTTTTCGCGATCTCTCAAAATTGATACAGGCTATTGGGTTGAAATTCATAACAATGATTAATGGACATGTTCCGGATACGATATGTCAAGGATACGCATGAGTGACCTCGGCGATACGCTCCAGTGAGCAATATGGGATTTTACATTTTCATCTTCTTCTCGAGAACGACACTACTTAGAGACTTGAAATTTACATCACATGCAGATAATAAGTCCCCCGTCATAAAGTGCAAATTTTATGCATGACTGACCACGCTTTCACGCTTCAGTGAGCAAAACGCGTCTTCAGTTTCTTTGCGATTTCTCAAAATTGATACATGCTATTGGGTTGAAATTCATAACAATGATTAATGGACATGTTCCGGATATGATATGTCAAGGATACGCATGAGTGACCTCGGCGATACGCTCCAGTGAGCAATATAGGATTTTACATTTTCATCTTCTTCTCGAGAACGACACTACTTAGAGACTTGAAATTTACACCACATGCAGATAATAAGTCCCCCGTCATAAATTGCAAATTTTATGCATGACTGATCACGGCTTCACGCTCCAGTGCACATAGCATAATTTTCAGTTTTTTTCGCATATCTCAATTACTATTGAATATTAAGAACTCAAACTTGGTATTTGAGGTCGGTTGATACACCACAACTTATGTTAGCCTTTTGGGGTAGCACTCCCGGTCACGTGACTAAGTCATGCATGAGTGATTTTTTCATTTCATATTTTACGTTATTTATTAATATTTTTATTATTTTTTTTTTCAGATTGGTCCTACAAACTTGAAATTCACCTCAAATGTGTAGAGGTACTCAACTAACAACAAAATGCAAATTTTATGCATGAGACCACGATTTCACGCTCCAGTGAGCGTTTTTTTTTTGTGGTTTCTCAAAATTGATAAACGGTTTTGGGTTGGAATTTATAACAATTATTGATGAACATGTTCCTCCTATAAAATGTCAAAGACAGAACTCAAACTTGGTATTTGAGATCAGTTGGTCCACCACTACTTGTGTTCGCCTGTTGGGGCTGCACTTCCGGTCACGTGACTAAATCGTGCATGAGTCATTTTGTCCTATTTCTCGTTAAAA